ATTACAGAGTATGTATGCCATACCTGTAAACGACGTGCATTGTAACTATGCGGGCAAAGTTACTTTACAGCTATAGTGGTAACGTCTAATGTGGGAGCTGTCTGTAAATACATATTATGCTGCGGAAATAAAATCCAATGATAACAACACACACTTCAAAGGTAATATAATATAACTAATATATAATCGAAATCGATTAATTTATCTATTTTTTCTAAAACTACTGCTAAGAAACACCAAAACGGTCACGTTCAATATATTTATTTATTTATTTCAAGGTCGTTAAAATGAATGTGATTTCTTGGTTTTAATCTTCTCTCTCGACATTCAGAAGGGGAGACCACCGCTCGCATATGAGTCACACTATCCGTAATACCGTTAGCCGGACGAGATACCCACTAGAGGCGCCAGTGGACCGTGATACAATTGTTCTTCAATTCCTTCAACATTTAATTAATGATCTACAATAAATACCAGGAAAACGTATTCGTAAATGTCTATGATCTAAAAATAAAGAATCTAAGAATAAAGAATTAAGTTCTACTTACATAAATAACATACTTAGGTTAGGAGACCACAAGGTATAGTTTGGCCACATTTGGTCAACATTCATTAAAATTTACAATCACAACTTACAAAAACAACGTAGATAAGCTTTTACAAAACGCGTATAAATCTTATCTTATAATAATAATAATAAGCCTTTATTGCTGTTTTACTTACTAATTACTAACTTAATAATAAATTAAATTTAAGTGCAACTTATAATCAATATCAATTATTCCGTTCGGCGTTCGGTGTGGTTTTAAAAACAGCTTGTCTCTCGACAAAGGCCTCCTCTAAAGATTGCCAATATTCTCGATTTTTGGACATTCGACTCCAATGCGGGCCGGCTACACTCTTTATTTCATCTTCCCAACGTTTTGGCTGTCTTCCTTTTTTTCTACAGCCATTTTCTACATACTCCCCCATGCCGATTGGTCCTCGTGGGGGAAAATGACCAAGACCCTCTTTATCTTATCTTATACCTATATGTAAATAGGCAAAAACGAAATAATTCAGTACCTCTGTTTGTCAAACAAATTTTGTTGAGTAGCTTTGCGATATCAATATATAAATTCTGGAAATAGATCCTTTTTTCCACCTTCATCCATGGATCTGAATTTTGAAATAGCTTCGATTATGGCCATCACTTAGTGAACACTAGTTTTAATTGTTACCAGAGGCACATGAAATATTACAATTATTTTGTAATGCAACGCCGCAAGAACATGAAAGTGGAGTTTCGCTTTCACTCAAGCGCCTAGGTATTAGAATTGTACAATTACATGTCACAATCGTGATCATTAACAGACATGCAATATTATTGTTATCATTTCATATTACACAAATGAAGAAAGAATACTTGTGAATACAAGAATACAAAGAAGTGGTCGGATAATACAAGAAATATATTATATTATTCATTTATACACGACAGAATATATTATTATTTTATATCAATGAAATGAAAGCTAGCAAAAAACCTCAAAGAGGATGTATTGTAACCACTACCAAATTTTAATCTTAAGATACGAATATTAATTGGAAAACTTAATTAATTTAAAAATATATATAATTGATTTAGGGTTATATCCGCTTACTGCGATCGCCAACCCACAATCTTTTATAGGTATTATAAATTCGCGCAGGTAGGTGCACCCTTCCTGTCTATTTATGCCGTCATCCCATCGTGAATTCCAGTTTGAAGGGCGCGATACCATTTGTACAGTACAATTGGGACGCCGACCTTGCACCTGAGGTTATCTTGTTCCACTTTTTTTTTATTGTGGACGAGCTCACAGCCCACCTGGTGTTAAGTGGTTACTGGAGCCCATAGACATCTACGATTTAAATGCGCCACCCACCTCGAGATATAAGTTCTAAGGTCTCAGTATAGTTACAACGGCAGCCCCACCCTTCAAACCGAAACGCATTACTGCTTCACGGCAGAAATAGGCGGGGCGGTGGTACCTACACGTGCGAACTCACAAGACGTCCTACCACCAGTAAAAGACCTGGTACCATCCTATTATACTATTGCTGATGTCCATGGACTGCGGAAAGATGGGTCGCAAAACTCGTTTATCCTTGTACGTAATAAATAGAAATAACATTATGCCCTTTTAGCCGTTTATAGTAATTTCCCAGTTCACAACAAAAATTTCAACCATAGCTCTATCTTTGGGGTCATCAAAAAAGATAAAATCCTCATATAATCAAATTCTCATTGTATTAAAAAACAATGGCACGCAACCGCTAATCCATGAATGCAATCACCACACAAATGTTGTAGTGCCCAAACTTTATTGAAACAAAAATTTCTGTCATTTTGTATTACGAGTACTTCCGTGAATAATTGAAATTTAACATGTCGTTAGTCAATGCGCTCCATTGCGATAGAATAATAATGAATGAAATAACAATCTTTTGAAACATGGAATTATAGTCGTCCACAGTAATTTCTACTTTCTTCGAGCTAATTACTTCTGACAGTTTCCATCATAGTCACCATTTTTTATGTTTAAATTTCCACACAGGAATCGGAAATTGTGTTACCGACACATAAATAATATTCCACTTACCACCTTCCTTTTACCACTTAACACCAGGTGGGCTGTGAGCTCGTTCAACCGTTTAAGCAAAATTCTTTTGCATGTATGTTCAATAAGTAAAATCTAAATTTGGATCAGTTTTTTTTCCTACCAGAGCGCAACAACATCTACTACGAATTATTATTTTTCATTCCAATATTCAAAGTAATCTTCTTTAATTAATATCACGGAATCTAGTGAATCCTTTAAATTAATGCGATTTTTCACAACAGAACTATTTGGAACGTTCATGTATGGCAAATGGGTATTTTGCGGATTTTTCGCAAATGCTATTCGTAAAAAAAACATATCGTGACTAGAAACAGGTTAATCTTGATGCATTCATCATCATGTGTCGTGATATAACATCACTATGAGGTGGTGCCACGGTTGGATGCCTTCGTAATTGAACAACGTGTTGTATGCACCATTGGATCGGAATCTCGAATGAGACACATCCAGTAATAATTCGTTTTAAAGTAACATTTATTGTGCTATTTATAGTTTTTTCTTTTTCGAGTCCGACAGAAGCACCCGCTGCCTGCGGACGTGCTCATCGACCACTCAATCGCCCGGCCATTGTTCGCTTGGTTTTTATTGTTAGCCCGGCCTTTGTTCACCCGGCTTTTGTTCGTGGCACATCTGCCGACAAAGTGTGTTCCTGGAAGTGTTTGTTTTGTTTTGGTTTATTTTTGTAGTTTCCTTTTTTTTTGTTGTTCTTTCTTTTTCCTGCAGTAATTGTGCCGCATCGCCACCTGTGTTCAATCGAACCGCTAAGTACCGAGAAGTTGGGGCCTCGCCNATTCCGATCCGGTAGTAGATTCATTCGCGAAGCAATTGCTCTTGAGTTGTTAGGTCTCCTTCGGAGGCGCTCGGGCAGCTGTTAGCAAATCCCACCCCTCCTGGCTGAGCCTTTGCTCGCCCACCTGTCCTGGTGAAACTGGAAAGGCCTTCGGGCCACCAGTAATCTCTCAATCATAAAAAAAAAAAAAAAAAAAAAGTTTTTTCTTTAATTATCACTTTTCTTAGTTAAGTGAAGGGATCTTTCATTATCAGTTAAATTGTAAAATACAACTGCTTATTTTAAAATAAATATAACTAATAAAATAAATTAGAAATTAGGAAGAATTACACGTTAATTAAAAATCTTGTTTAGTGTTCAATGTTATTTGCACTTTTTGAATAGTGAAAAATTAACTATAATCAAATAAACCTATGCATATATCGCAAGAGTATTTATCACTTCAAAAAACTAAAAGTATTTATCCGGTATGAATAGATCATCAAGATTACATAAAACTGACACACCAAATGAGTATATCAATTTCAGGCAGAAAAAAAATCAAAATTTAATGAATGAAAATTAATAATAATAATGATTAAAAAAAACATCACATCACGTAATAGCCATTCACAATCAGAACCAGGACAAAGAAGACACCTAACACAATTAAGCTACCGTGAAGAAATCTAAAATCGTGTATAAAACCCACAACGGTGGATGCGCTTGTGCACCTCCAACTGTTTGCTAAATAAACGGGCAATTACTCGTTTTCTATTTATTTTTCTCGTCCATAGTATCTCAGTCAAGATCACTGACCTCATTACTTCAATCGAAATAAATTGAACTTGATTTGTCAAGCCGTCGCAATACATTTTTTTCATTTCAGGTCATTTCTCGTTCATGTTAATTCACAATAAAGTAAATCAAGATAGATAATTCCTGCATATTTTGTGCAAGCGTGTACAATTATTAAAGATCCACCTCTATAGGCCATCAAAGCTCATAAGCATCATGAATGCAGCTGCCTACCTTGAAACATTGTACGGAAACTTTACTTACTTAATTTTAATGGTTCAAAACTATTCGCTAAGACTAAAACTAATCGCATGATTGTTTCTCTATGAAAATCAGCTTAGAAATTAAGGGCAAGGAGTTAAGACCAGAGGCGATTAGTCACGTATGAGGGGCTAACGTAAAACTTACTGATAACGGAGACATATGGTCTTACTTTGTGAGTAAGATCTACATAATTTTAATTTCAGTCTATAAGTATCACCTCTGGTGCTAGGACCTTACTGGTGGTAGCACCTCTTGTGAGTCCGCACGGGTAGGTACCACCACTCCGCCTATTTCTGCCGCGAAGCAATAATGCGTTTCGGTTTGAAGGGTGTAGCAGCCGTTGTAACCATACTGAGACCTTAGAACTTATATCTCAAAGTGGGTAGCGCATTAACGTTGTAGATGTCTATGGGCTCCAGTCCACCACTTAACCACCAGGTGGGCTCGTCCAACATCTAAGTAATAAAAAAAAAGCAAATACAAGCTGCACTAATGGTTCCAATTTAAATATATATTTTTTATAGGAAGCCAGCACAGAGCTGTTGCCTCGCACACACTATGGGACATTCTATGACGCTGAAGCATACTTGGTTTACTCGGCGTCTCTTCTCTGCCATCCGGCTGGGCCGGACGTCATAGTAAGTTCTGTTGTCAATTTCAGTTGTTACCAATGAAGTACATGAAGACTTTTTCGTTTTTATTATTACTATTAATTATTAAATCCCATCTGAGGCATTTCAACCTTTCTCAATCTCTCGTGCTGTTTGAGAAACTAATCAAAAGTTATGTTATTTTTGTGGTGCTTTGTATTGAATGTCAAAAATATGAAAATAATGTGGTGTCTGTGGTGTTATTTTTTCCGGTGCTCTTTTAATCTCACAATAGTAAGCCGATCCACAAAATCCACTAACAAAGTTGTATCATGTATTGTCATCATGTATTCCAGTTCGATGAATAATAGACACTTCGAAGATCATCGTTTTAAAGCAAAATATCGTAAAAAAATCGCAAATACGTAATTAGAATAATACAATACAATTGAGGCAGTACAATTGAGGTCTCGTGTACCAAGGTGTATGTGTACCAATCACGTTGCAAGGTCTATATCAAGGTTATACTAAAACCAGACTGGCCGAAAACTCGTTCGCATTCAACAAACAAAATAAAAACACAAAATGAGGCTATAATAACAATATTGCATCAGTGCTCAAAAATAAATTTATGGTTACATTTATTGTTAAGCGCTTAGCTCGTCCGTCTGCAGTAAACATATTTAAAATAAACAATAATAAACAGCTTTTGATGTCGATTAAAAATACACGAACGCTTGGAGTAGCTTTATTATATTCACAGCGTCGAGAGATTAAAGAGAGTAATGGAGATTATGCGGAACGCCACATACACGCCTGGGCTGGAGAGCGCTGCGGAAATCTTGCCGCACTCGCCCTTCGCCGTGGAACACAGCTCGCTACGTATCTTGGCATGCCTGTAGTCATTCATCGGGAGGCGTCTACCAAGGAAACTCCTCGGCTCCTTTCCTACTTTCGAGACGGTATAAGGTAATGTCGATATTGTACAAAATTGTTTAATTCCAAAAGGTAAATAAATTTGATATAATTAGCATTTAAATTTCAGGATCCTTCGTAGCGGATCGAACTTGAATGGTGCAGCACGTTTATACCGTGTTCGTGGTCGTCGACCGCTTCTCGTCCAATTGGAACCGGTATCATGGTCTCAGTTGGCTGCAGACGGTGTATTCGTTTTAGACACCTCTTCCCTGCTCGTTCTGTGGCTGGGGCGAGCTGCCAATCTTGTCGAGAAAATATTCGGTGCCAAGGTTTGTCAGTTATCTCTTTTCGTTTCGCATGATTTGTATTTAATACCGCGATAAAGCACGACTTGTCAATTATAGTTATACTATTTTAACACCGATTCGTATAATTCTCTGCAACATTGCGCAATACATAATCGTATCAACTACATACCTGTCGCAATACGCTTGCTGAAACTGGATTGATTACTTTTAACTTGAATTTGATTTCAAACAAAAACCCAGAATATATTGAAACTACTACATACAATTTTTTTTTACCAGATCGCTTACCGTATGGCCCGAGGAGCTGATAAAAGTACGTCAGTTCGGCGTATTGCCATCGCTCATGACGGGTACGAGCAAACTTTACCATCAAACGATCGCGCCCTACTTGACAGCCTGCTAGAATTGCGAGCACGCTCAGTCCGCCCAGCTTCCCCTCCCCCCGATCCTCCTCGTACCGCTCGTCTGTACAAGGCGACACAACCTCACAGAGTTACACCTGTCACTGTACCTTCCCAAAGACCAGCAGCGAGGCTCGAAGAAGTCAAACGAGCACCGTTGTTCAGAGAAGACCTCACTGATGATGTGAGTAACATCTCTATAACTGAAGTGACACATCTATAGAATTCCAATATTAACCACTTTATTCCAACTTAGGGTGTATATATAGTGGATAGTGGAAGCCGAGGAGTCTGGGCATGGATAGGACCACAAGCGACAGGTCCTGGTAAGCGTGGTGCTTTGGCAGCTGCCCGCGGCCTTGCTCGTGCTAAGCGCCACACCGGCGCAGTATGTGTGACCACAGCTGGACGAGAACCATTAGAATTTGCTTCTCTATTCCAAAATTGGCGCTGGTGTGACGCTCGACGGGATATCAGAGTTCGTGCAGCCCGCTCGGCAACTACAAAGCTGGACGCGGTTAACCTCGCCACTAACGCTTGGCTTGCTGCTGAGGTAAGCCGTAATAGAAACTATATAGCCTCGTGATAATTTTTTAAAAACGATTTGGCGCTATATCTATTGGCGTTGATGGCGTTGATGGAATGTGGGGAGTAACAATTATTTTATTCAAATATTTAATTCAATATAATAATATGAAAATTTATTTCCAAACAACTTAGGATATGAATGTAATACAATTTTTCAGTGGTCTCTACACTAAGCGCATTAATTTAATCGTAGAAGACTTATGTCCATTTTATTAATAATATGGGTACAAAACATATCTGATATACAGTAACTATATAGTATTACAATTGACGCCTTCAGCTCTAACACTAGGAGTAGGCTTAAGGACCCCGGTAACCGTACTCGTTGAACTCAACAAAGAGCTCGACGTATAACCTAACCCATGCATCAGCTAGCTGAGTTTCTCGCCGGATCTTCTCAGCAGGTCGTGATTCCGATCCGGTAGTAGATTCATTCGCGAAGTAGCTGCTCTTGAGTTGTTAGGTCTCCTTCGGAGGCGCTCGGGCAGCTAGTAAATTCCACCCCTTTTAGCTGAGCCTCCTATCCTGGTGAAACTGGAAAGGCCTCCGGGCCATCAGTAATCATTCAATCCTAAAAAAAAAGGATTAATATTATAGCTCTTTAGCATATTGTAATAATATTTGTTGTTGTTTGGACCATGCTGCATTCAACTGTAAAATTTTTGCAATTCGTTTAAATATTTTGAGTGTCAATTTCAAAATAGATTTAAGACTGTAACACCTGTTACCGTAGCGAAACGATTATGACAAATCCAATATAATTCGTACATAGAACTTACCTTAGCTTATTTTCTTGAGGCCCTTATAAAAAAATGAACTTTACTGACGACTCAATTTATATTTGGGGATGGTTCTCCAAAGAAGGAGTAGGAACTGCGAATTGTACCTCGAGAATACAATGGCCTAACAATAATAGCAATGAATAAATTCGGTGCTGACTAAAAGACGGAGATGTCTTTAAGCTATATCGCATTGTTATATGTGAGAGAGATATTTAAGACTGCTTCTGTAATTAGGCACAACTACCTGACGATGGATCAGGTTCTCTACGTGTGTGGCGCGTCCGAAGATGCGGTGTAGATGAAGACGCGGAGAAAGAGGCAGACGGTGCACTGGCAGAGGTCGAGCGACCACAAGCAGCTGCCTTTTACGATAGAGACTGTTACATTGTACTGTACACATACCATTCTCCTAACGGAGACCAAACGATGATTTACTACTGGATGGTGAGTAATTTCCTTTTTTTTATTGTTTAGATGGGTGGATGAGCTTGCGGCCCAACTGGTACTGATTGTTTATCGGAGCCTATAGACATCTACAACGTAAATGGCGCCATCCACCTTGAGACATGAGTTCTAAGTTCTCACTTGTAACAATACAACGGCTGCCCCACCCTTCAAACCGAAACGCATTACTGCTTCATGGCAGAAATAGGCAGGGTAGTGGTTGGTACCTATCCATACGGACTCACAAGACGTCCCTCCACCAGTAATTACGCAAATAATAATTTTGCGAGGTTGAATTTTAATACACCACGTTATTCGTTCATCGTGGAAGTCAATCGTGAACATTTGTTAAGTACGTATTTCATTAAAAAAATTGGTACCCGCCTGCGGAATTCGAACACCGGTGCATCGCTAGATACGAATGCACCGGATGTCTTATGCCACGACGACTTCAATTTTGCAAAATACAATGTTATACTTTTTTTATGGACAAATTAAAAAAATCAATTATAGGGTGGCTCTGCGCCAAATGATCTGAGGAATTTGGGTGCAAAAGAAGCCAAAGACCTCTATATAAAGCTAGGCCGTCTTCCTGTCCAGGTAAGTACCATTATGCTGTCTTTTGAATGATATACAGATTTTAATATGGATTTAAAAATTTTACTGACTCATTATTTTAAAGATAGATATGATCGCCTCGTTGGCATAGTGGTTACTGACACTGACTATTATTGTCACTAACCACTATGTAGTGTCATGTCAGTCTTATCACGGGATCCAGATTGGGTCTTGGTACCTTGATATCTTGATTGAAGATACCAAACGGTAATCGGTTTCACAAAAGTTAAATGAGGAAACTTTTTTCTCAAGTTCATATTTGTATTTTTTATCTACAGGCCTGGGTGTACCAAGGAAAAGAGCCAGCGCATTTTCTACAAATATTCAAAGGTCGAATGATTACATACGTCGGTAGTGCAACCGATTATGACCGTAAGCAAATCCAAAATTTTTAACAGAATTCGAACATGGACCACAGATTATCATTTGTATCGATTCTACATAAGAGGCGATAATTATTCAAAAACGATAGTATTCTAAATTCCTGTTTCATATACATAATGTATTTTTTTTGTAAATACATAAAGCTACGCATCGTCATTCTACTCCTTACTAAAAATACGGGGCTGAGGTGTCTGGTCCCAAAGTCAATGACGTTTCATTTTACTTTTTAGCGAGCGGTCGTCGAGTGATTCCGCCTAGCCGTGTGCTGATCCTAGTGTCAGGTCAGTACGCGCGTGAGGCCCGCGGTACTGAGGTGCGGGGGGCGGGGCGGGGCGCGGGGCGGGGCGCGTGCTGCGTGCTGCGGGACGGAGCGCGCGTGTGGGTCTGGTGCGCCGCCTCCGCCACCGGAGACGAACGAGAGGTCGCTAAGAACATGGCCGCCGTTGAACATACCCTCGTCATGCAGGGTAATACCTTTTTTTTTTATCCTACCTAAGCTGATATTTCAGGGTAGCTTTAACTAGTAAATGAGCTGACGGGGCTCAAACCTGACGACGTTGCTAACACGAACCCTAGCAAGAGCCGTGCTTCGCAGAATCTACCACCGGATCGGAAACGCGACCCACTGAGAAAATCCGGCAAGAAACTCATGGGCCTGTCTGTGGGTTAATTTACTCGTCGAGCCCTTCGTCGCAAGCAACGGGTTCGACGAGGACGGTAACCGATGCTTGTGGTACCTAAGAGCACCGTTAATGGATCGGGAGGATCCGAAATGACTTGTTTTGTGCTACGTCGACTGCTTCCATTATGTCCACAGGATCGGGAATATAAGGGTAAACGAACCACCCTAAACGAACTCTACAGCACTCCATGCTGGAAAACAAATTTAAAATCAGAAGCTATAATTTTTGGTTATAACCGAAATTGATTTTTAACCAATCGGTATGGCAAAAACTGCCTATTAAATTCAATTTTAACTGGAACGACAAAGGGCAGATTTTTAAACGAGTTTCTGATTAAGGTTTTGTCACCTATCCATTCTGTAATAAATAGCTACCGACACAAAATCAAGTAACTTAAGTAAGAAACTTTGGCAGTAATTGAGAGAGAGGGAGAGAGAGAGAGAGAGAGAATATACTTTATTGCATACCAAAGAACATTTTAAAAAAAGCTTATGTAGCAAAAAAGAACTTCTGTATTCCAGCTACGTTTCAAAAGAATACCAAATACAAATGTTATCACTGAATTTGAAATATGTATAACGATTACTTTTAATACCTACAGGTAAAGAAAAGTCCGACTTTTGGGCAGCCTTGGGAGATCGGCGTCATTTGTTAGTTCCGTCTGCAGTGAAAGAAATAGAGCGCCCCCTCCCGCCCCGCCTATTTTACGTCTCCATAGGAGCACCAGGACAGTATTCGTGTAAGTAATACATACAATATTAACAATATTAATTATAGCAACAATTTCGTATAATACATACCGTCATCGCTTTTGAGAAATGTAATTGAAATCACTTCAACGACCACTCAGTAGCTTGCTCCTGGGATTGCTATTGTCTATAACCAAGGCTCACCATTAATTGAGAATTCTGATTTTCTATGCTCTAAATAGACGAAGAAGCTCATGATGAAGTAGATTAACTTATTAATAAACGGATTCTTTTTAAAGCAGATTAATGTAAGTACTTACAGTTCAATATGGTTCATTAACAATAAAACTAATTTTAATTCACCAGTTTTTTTATTGCTTAGATGGGTGGACGAGCTCATCGAACACCTGGTGGAGAGTGATTATCGGAGCCCATAGTAATCCGAACGTGAATACCGTTATCCACCTTAAAACATAGGTCGAAGTTTTAATTATATGGCATAATGACTAATGACTGTCCCGTAATTCAAACTGAAACGCATGACAACTTCATGGCAGGTTCAGTCGATCGCTGCTGGCTCATAATATTGTCTTACCACATATATACGAAACAATACCTGGAATCTGATCTGTATTAATATATACGATCTGATCCCCTATGATCGTTGCCTACATAAAACCAGTTTCGATTCCAAGAAATCCATTCTGTCACGAACTGCGCTTAAGACTTGATTAAGCACCCCTCACGTTGATCACGGTGCTATATGACGTTTTTCTTCAAAATAAATTCCAGAAGCAAATCACAGTAAGTCGACATCTAATTGACGAATTTTTATTTTTATTGCATGTACGGATGGACGAGCTCACACCACAGTGATTACCAGAGCCTATAGACATCTACAACATAAATTCTGCCATCCACCTTGAGATCTAAAGTCTCAGAATCTCACAAGAGGTCCTACCGCCAGTGATTGATGTTATGGTGTCCCCAGTTGAAGAGATAGTCTCGTTCAGCCAGTACGACTTGATGCCGGAAATGGTGGGCATCGTTGACGGGCACTGCGCGTTGTTCGTCTGGCTTGGAGCTCATTGTTGCCCGCGGGCAAAAGACGACGCTAGATCGATAGCCCTTGCTTATCTTGCACATGGTGAGTATTTAGTTCACAATAATATGTATCATAATCGGTTGCTCTTGGCAGAGCAGTCGTGGTCATGTGGAATTCTTGCTTATTAAAGCCTTAACAGATGTTTTCCATAGTTTGCGAATCGAAGCCTCGGCGCACACGCTCGTTAAGTGGAGTTTCAGTAAGGTCTTTCACCTGATCAGTCCAACGCATAATTTATAATATGATGCAAAAATGCATTTTGTGTATTAATCACTAATTTCATTAAGGTAGTAATTTAAAAAAAAAACATTAAAACATTTCCAATTAGTGTGCTTTCCGTTTAAAAAACTTCAACAAAATATAATGAGAATATCACCAATGTAGTCGAAATCAATTAAATATAAATTATTAAGGATAACTCAGTAACTATTGGCCAAATCTTTGAACAGATTTTGACTCATTTGAAGCACACCAGCTTAAAAAAAAGGATCATAAAAAAGAGAAATATTTCGAGGTAGCTCAAAAAAATACAGTAGAATTTTTAAACCTCTCCTTTTTTTTAAATCGGTTAAGATGCACTTGACACTTTTTTTATTCTTTAGATCCTGCCGCGCGAGATATGGAAACGCCTATAATCACAGTGAACCAAGGTCGCGAACCCCCACACTTTACGGGTTTCTTCCCACACTGGAAACAGTCCATGTGGAAAGTAAGCAAACTTATTCTACGTATTCTTGTATTGTGCTAAGTTATTCGCATATTGAACTACAGCTTACATTAACACTTACTTATACCATGAACTTACAACCAAAGATCCGGCGAGAAACTCAGTGGGCTGTGTCTTTGGGTTAATTTACTCGTGGCTTCATCGCAAGCGACTGGTTCGGCGAGGACGGTTGCCGGTGCTTGAGGTACCTAAAAACACTGTTAATAGATCGAGCGGATCCGTAATGTGCTTAGGGCGACGTCGACTGTTTACCATTCGGTCCACCGGATCGAGTATGAAGTTCTCACGCACCACCTCCACAACGAAAGCATAGGATCGTGTAATAAAATGTACCCTATATGTAAAATGTACTCTATTAATATGATAGGTATTAAAATTATCATATTAAAATTATCTATGAACTCGCAAGGATTACGAATGTGCCTATTTCTGTTGTGACCACTGAAGTATGAAACCTAGTTGTGACACTGAATTTTTAGCTTAAAAACCAGGACGGCCGTTTTGCAATACAATGACTTCAATCACACATCTCAAGAAGAGTGAGGGCCTTCACGTTGTGAGGCCTCTTGGCTCTATGAAACCACTTAACACTGGATCCGACATGAGTTTGTTCATTCCCAATGAAATAAATTTAAAAAAAAATCACTATAAGTCCTAAAAAATTCTAAATCTTTCTCGGAACTCTGAGATTATAATAAACTGTATCTAGATTTTGAAGTGACTTTTTCACAGGGTCATAAAACGTTCAGCGCTATAGTCAGCGCGTTGGAAGGCAAAGCCATCGTCCAGCGCGGTAACATCTCTATACCTAATGGTAACAGCACGAATCGGTTCGATCAGTATGAGAAGTACCCATTGGGACTGCTGCGAGGACCCAAAGAACATCAACCCCCCGACGTTGACCCACTTATGAAGGAGGTAACCTTGATTAATTAAGCTTTCCCTAATTTTAGGTAGACAGAGCTTAATACATTTATTGTAATTTGATTTGGCCTTTAATTATATTACCGGCTCGAATGAACATAAAACATCCTTTAAAAGAAATGGGCACATCAGAATTTGAAATAGTGGGAAGGTTGTTTACAAAATATAAGATAAGAATTATCTACTAGTACTAAGTAGTTGCTAAAAATAGCTAGGGCTGAGGCCGCATTATGTACTTATCCTTCTGATCTCTTTTATGAATAGCTCCACAAATTTATCTTAAATTTCTGATAATTGAAAACAAACTTAATTTCTTCAATATTTTCCAGTTGTACCTAACTCACGATGACTTCGTAGCAACATTTGGCATGCCCTACAGCGAATTCCGAACACTGCCTGGATGGAAGCAGAAGGATCTAAAGAAAGCTGTTGGCTTATTTTAAATATCCCAACTAATTCAATTTTAAATATCGTTTCTGACTATAATCTAGTTCCAAGTTAGAAATGCTTCATTTCGCTTGTAATGTATCTTCGCGCCCTTCTGCTAAAGGTTAGAAGGGTGAATTTAGAAGAATACTAATAAGAAGTCATTTTTATTTATTTAAATCTAAGTTATAATCTCGCATTCATTTTAGATTTTCCTTACAATGAACGCGATGTAAACGCGAGATTGCTTTAGTTTTTCTTTAATAATATCTACGTCTCGTGAACCACAGCAAACCTCCAATTTTCCAAACACTTTTCATTAAATATTTTATCATTTTTTAATTTTGCGGTAGGCAGCGGCTTGGCTTTGCCCTTGGCATTGCTGAAGTCCATGGGCGACGGTAACCACTCACCATCAGGTGGGCTCGTCTACTTACAAGGGCGATAATTTTTTTTTTTTAAAAGATTCCTATCCCATACAACACACAGTTTACAAATTATTAGGCACTATAACCACCGCTTGCTATTAGGACGTGACGCTGTGGGATCTAATTTATTCCAATATTACCTTTTATCTTTCAGGGGTTGTTTAACATATTGTTTATAAGATCATCCAATAATCATATTATCATTAAATAAATATTATTAAAGGCATTACAGAAAATTTAATATAATTATCTAATTTTATTGTATGTTATACATACTCGTTTTAGTAATTTTAACAAAATCAAATTACAATCTTTTTTTTAATATTTTTAATTACTGATTGCAAACTTCATTGTAATGAACAGCACGTTATAGAATGTACAATTTCTTCAACACATTTTAATTTATTCGAATATTACTGTAACGACAACAAATGTATTGTTTAAATATTTATTTTTCCTAATACTACCTACGCATTGAGAATGTAAACATTATAATATATATATATCTTTATATAATATCTTTAAAATAATCTTCTATGAATATTTTTTGCAATCGCATTGTATTAGAATAAATAATTCATTACTTAATATGATTATGTAATAAATGAAAATGTTGAAAATTAAACAATTATGTTTTTTAAATGTTATTTATTTTTTCCACAAATGTAGCACTTATTTGCTAGGCATTAATTTTATGATAAAATTAATAATCTTTACAATATACAAAATCCTTAATAAATCCATAAAATATTGATTTATTTCAAAACATTATGTACATTTTGAATTTATTATTGATACACAAGTTAGTCTAAATGATATGGGATCGGGCCGCAGCTCTAAGGCACGTGGTTCCTCCGTATTGCATTCCGACCATAGACAAGTCCGCGCGTCACGGACTTGCAGAGGCCCCGGCACTATTACAGACTAATTGAACTGTTGCCGAAACTAAGCCAGCGATAGGCCTAACGCGGCTTCTTTACAAATGAAAAGCTAGCTAGTTAGGAACTTATAACATTAGCATGATAAATAAAACGTTACGATAATGAATGATGCAATTCAATTATAATATTATTAATATAAATAATTTACATGATGACTTTACATTGTCCATTAGTGTTAATCGTTAAAGACAAACGGGAGTATTTCTAGATTCGCTTTAACAGTTTCGCGTCAACAAACAACAAAAATACTCCCGGAAAATGTCATATTTTAAAAATGCTCATATAATTAATTATGCATAAGTAATGAAATAACAACTATTATCTGCATTAATTTAATGACAAGCAAAATGAATAACATGTAATTTAATCATTCGAACACAACAAACTGCTTCATTTTGTTAAAATCGAAATTTCAAAAAAATTTCTTTGGCAACAAAAAAGAACCATTTCCGAACTCGTTGACCACAAAAAAAAAATAATCACGACACAATAATTATGGAATGAAATAACGCGAACAATGCAATAGCTGCCCTAATTTAAAAAAAAAAGTATTATAAAAAAAAATGCATTCAAAAAATAAGCGTAAACCTACGATGAATTTCAATTTATCAAAACACTTAAGTACATAATTTGAAATTCGTGTGTCAGTACGTGAACGATGGAGATTGTTTCAAACTTACTCTACTATATAATAGAAAAAAAAAACGTGAAGCGATTTCTGAACAAGCAACTGTTAACGTACTCGAGTCATTCTATAAACTAAAGTAAACAAAATTCAACATAGATTTCGTTGAAGGAATGTAAACAGTGTGCAGACCGATCATCATACGGAGCATTTCACGATTTCTGTACCGTTTGTTCATAAGAATTTTGTCCTAAACGAATTTATAAACGAGACATGATCCAAATTTGTACTGTATTTTTAGATATCCATCTTTATCTGTCTCCAGATAAGAACCGTTTTTTATGAATCATTTTTGTTTAATAAATTCATCCGGGACGAAATTGGACATTTGCACTATTATACTGCACTATAACTGTAGGCACAGAATTGTTAAGTTCAACAAGAAAAAGCAGTAACAATGTTCTGGAGACACTTCCCTCTAGCACCGCGGGTGATCTGCCTCGCGCGTGACGTCACGCGGCTTGTGACAGCACGAGACTGCACCCACCCTCCCCACCGCACTTCAGTTCTTCAACTCCCCTCTATATTTTGTACTTTCAAATCACAACTTATATTTTCATGTAACAAGGCCCGTTGGTGTTTCTAGAAAACGTGAGCTTTAAGCTAAATAACGTTGGTGTTGATATTTCAATAACAATACTAATGAGAATTATCCGAGAGCTGTACAACATCAAGCAACACGCATCGTATATATGTATATATATATATATATATATTGGAACCAAACTTCAAATATTTTGGCACCACCTTCAAAAGGACAAAAATAGAGTATCAAAATCATAGAGCATTTATTTATAAGACACTCGAATTATTGCTTTCGAATAATTTAAATTTACTCAGACCTATAGACGCAACATTCACCTAACAATAGGCCGAAGCTTAGTTTTGATAACCTACGCATCACATTCGCTTTAGGCTTGAAACGTTTATATTACATCGATTTCGTATTTTAGAATACACAAACAACTGATCCAATAAGGAAGCCCACAAAGAGAATCTTAAAAAAATTAAGTATCACGCTGAATTTAAATTTTAAAGTACTATCTCGTTTGAGCAAAATATTTATGACGGCTCAGTTCGGAATATTAAAAATGTATGGCACCGTTTATTCGTTCATCTGAAAATGCTTAAGGGACAATGTGTACAATGAACTTATTCTAAATTTTATGGGTCCCTCATAGTAGTAACTGTAGTAGTTAGTAAAAAATTACATTTATTTAGGCAATTCGGAATACACAAAACATTATACGGCTTTTAAAAAATAAATGTATCTAGATTTCAGACGCAGTTGTCGTCATTAACTATTAACACAATCTCTAATTATAGTATTACATATTATTATTATTAACATTTATTTGTCTTAATATCCCTGTTCAGTTTAATACAACATATAAATTAAACTATAATCAATGATAAGCAAGAGAGAGGTAATATAAAAAACAAAAAGTATTTAATGGTGAAAAACAATGCAATAATTGCTCAAATTTATTTAGTCCGACTACAGTTCATTGAAATGTGCAGTCGGATGTTAGCGGCTGTAGAATACCTGTAATATTTTTTTTTTAAATTCAAAGCTAAAGGGTACGACTTCAGATACCGTTTTCCTATCAAGCCGATAACAAAGATGAGAAATAACTTGTCCATAAAATAAATGATGTCTGGTAAATTAATTTTCCGATACCGATAATCTTGATTACAAACAATTGTATGATATAACTAAAATGCAAATATATAAAAACAATCCAAAAATTGTTATGTTGTTTATCGTGGGGAGTTTGAAATTTGAAAAAAGTATTTTGGAATTATTCGTTCTAGTTTCCAATGAGCTAAACGATTGTAAAAATCAGCATTACTGGAGTTCTTTTTTTTGTCTTATGTTAGTGTAAGCTTACAACAGTTCCGAAATTTTGTGAATGCAAGTATGTAAAGCGTAAAAGCACACCGGCAGGGGCGCGATGAATTGCAGACATAGTTCGAAATATAGCACCACCGTATTTGCCCGTGCGATTTAGAAAATTATTTAAATTAATGTCTTTCCTATACAATTGAGGGGTGACCGCTGGATCAACGGTAAACTTTAATAAGTACAAAATATCAACATTTTCAATAACTATCACAGCTGTTACGCTGATATAATTTAGAATTAAAAAAAATTTTTCGACCTAACTTTAATTTTTAAGACTAGCTACTTTTATACAACGGATCATGGTAGGTACAAAATATCAAAGATTCAATATAAATTCCTAACGTCAGCCAGATCAAAAACGATTTTGCAACGTTTCCTCCAGTGGAACTTCGATTTAAAGCGCATTTCAAACAGAACGTAACATTTTCTCTAAACTAAAAGACCCAAAAATGTTAGTATAAAAAAAACCGTAATCGCGACGAAACAAGCCGATAAATCAATTCCTTAGATGGCGCCGCGTCCGGCGGGGCGGGTGACGTCACTGCCGCTGCATGGACGCGTTGGCGGGCAGCGTGGAGCTGCGCTGGGACACGTTCAGGTGCGCGGCCGACTTCAGGTTCGAGCGCATAGAGTCCCTGCAATGTACACACTTTTTTTTTTTCATTGCTTAGATGGGTGGACGAGCTCACAGCTCACCTGGTGTCAAGTGGTTACTGGAGCCCATAGACATCTACAACGTAAATGCGCCACCCACCTTGAGATATAAGTTCTAATTAATACGTGAAGGAAAAACTTTGTATCCCTTTTTACAAAAATTGCGCTGACGGAGGAGTATGAAATTTCCTACACTTATAGACAAAATAGAGAAGCAGAATGTTAATATTTTTTTAAATTATGCCTAAAAAGTACATTAAATCAATAAAAAAACATTACACACACTACCATGTATTTGACGCGTACACGCATGCATACTATTTATTTATTGTCACTTTTGTTCTTGATGTCTGTGGTCAAATTGAGAATAGATTAAATATTGTTTGTCTTTATTAATATTTTTCTATAGTGTAGTCTTGGCGGGATTTGTGATTATAGAAGTATAATAATCTTTGAAAATAGAATCATAATAGTGTACAATCTTATAACTTCAATTAATTATAGTCGAATTTCGACTTTTTTTTATTGCCTTTGTAGGCAGACAAGCATACGGTACACCTGAGGGTAAATGGTCACCGTCGTTCATGGACGTCAGCAATGCCAGAGGCAGAGCCAAGCCGCTGCCTACCTACGCTGTGGTAGGACCTCATGTGAGTCCGCACGGGTAGGCGCCACCACCCTGCGTACTTCTGCCGTGAAGCAGTAATGCGTTTGGGTTTGAAGGGTGGGGCAGCCGTTGTAACTATAGTTGAGACCTTAGAACTTATATCTCAAGGTGGGTGGCGCATTTACGTTGTAGATGTCTATTGGCTCCAGTAACCAATTAACACCAGGTGGGCTGTGAAATCGTCCACCCATCCAAGCAATAAAAAAAAATTGAATAAAGTAATTAAGTATTAGTAATCTATTATTTTATAACTGTTAATGTTTACAACAGATTTGTTGGATAAACGTAACTATTTAAAAAACGGAATTGCTAACACTAGTAGTTAATAACAATAACAACATAATATCAATGGCTCTCTTTTATTGTGACAACGATAGCGAGAGTTTGAGTGTGAGTGTTAGTGACAGAGTGAGAGTGTGAGTGTGTTACATGTAAGAGTTGTATGAAGTATAAGTGTAAGTATAGAACATGTGAGGCCTATAAAATCAAACTACAAAAATCGGCCCTAAACACGTCATTACGGATCCTTCTGATCCATCGAAGTACTGCTCTTGCTAGGGCCAATGTTAGCAACACTCCCGGTTTGAGAAACTGAAATAACTTTGTTCGGGTAGCTACGATATTCTTTATTTTAAAGCAAATTTATAAAGAATGAGAATATTACTGCCATAGTTAATCCCTTTTGGCGTTTAGCTGCCTTTGATTTCATAGGCCCCATGTATAAGAAATACAGCTAAAACTTGGTCGCACTAATGACTTCAATACAACTTAGTAACACAGTAGAAGCAAGTGTATCTGTACATTGGGGAAAGGTAAGGCCGCACACGGGCCACCGATCACAACCACAAAACGCATATTTCCTGTAATTTTCATACATTATACATAGACTCGCCGCACACGGTTGACGCCGATGGCCGTCACATGCTACATATAAAATGTATGAAAATTACAGGAAATATGCGTTTTGTTGTAGTGGCCGGTGGCCCGTGTGCGGCGAATATCGTTGCCGGCTTCCGGATTTTCATTTCCGAAAGAAGGGTCAACGAAGTCCATTCTCAGAAACCACTTTGATTTTATTATTATTATGAGGATATACTAATAATAATAAAATGTACATAAGGGCTTATTTCTAGCAAAATTAACCACAATTAACTTATTTCACACTGTAACTAATTATGGGAGCGATTATTGTTTTCGATGAAAACAATTAACAACTTCATATTAGCTGCAAAAAAAACCGGATTTCTCTTAGAACTGGGTGAGAATATAAAAAACGTTTTCTGAATATGAAACGATATTTCTTTTTCTTTCAAATTAAGTTAAAACCATCATGACACGACTTTTTTTAGGGGCCCAAACGCCCAAATAAAATGGGCATGGTCCTTTTGTATGTGCATAGTTAGTACGAGTATGTGTGGGGGGCGTGCGTGCATACCTGGGCGAGAGGCGATGGTCGTGGTTGTGGTGCGCGGCGCGGTAGCCGTGTCGCTGCACGCGGCGCGCCAGGCGGGCCACCCAGCGGCGCTGCTCGGGCGCGGCGGGCGCCAGCAGCAGCAGCTCGCGCGCGCGGTCCGCGTGCAGCTTGCACGCCGCCACGCCCTCGCCCTCCGTCAGGTGCTCCGCGTGGATCTTCATCCGACACCCTGCAACGAGTCACATTCACATCGTGTAATCAAAATCTACTACTACTACTATCCGTCCCTGTTCCCGTTATCTGGGGTCGGGTCTCCTTACTCTACGGCGCCAGGCTGATCTGTCCTGGGTTGTCGGTTTTGGCAATTGGGCTTTCTTAAAGTCTCTTTCGATGTGTGACCAGGTCGATGGCGGGCGGCCTCTACCTATCTTTTGTTCTGGCAAGCCCAATGCGACCTTCACCACATGATCTTCGTCCCGTCTCATGATATGGCCATACCATCTAAGGCGATTTTCCGTCATTTTGTCTGTGATTGATGTGACTTTAAAGTGTGGCTTTGCCTTAAAGAATCGTGTAATGAAAATCAAACCCGCAAAATTATAATTTGCGTAATTACTGACGGTAGGACCTCTTGTGAGCCCGCGCCGGTAGGTATCACCACCCCGCCTATTTCTGCCGTGAAGCAGTAATGCGTTTCGGTTTGAAGGAATAAAAAAAAGTCCAAATCGAGTCCCTTCTTTATTTCGCGTGAAATAGTGTTTTGGATTCACTCATAATTAACACCTCAATCGAAACAATAGGAGTTTTATTGTTGCAGCGGCTTACACAGTTATAAGTTATACACTTATTATTTTTTTATTTTATTTTCGGCGGTAAAAATCTTCTTTTTCATGTTCTCGTGCATTCCGGCTTACGCATCATAAAAAAAACACGTTCTTAAACGTCACAACGTGTTAAACTCAGAAGTCTAATTACTATTGTCTTAATTTCATGTAACAACATAACCATTTAAAGCTATTTCTAAAATTTTAAGTTAAATTTGGTTTAAAAAAAAATCTTTTATCAAAGGCAGCAAAAAGTAAGTAGGCAAATTATAAGAAAAATATGTGGATGTTTTAATTTAACGATTCATAAAAGTCCTTAAAGAAAACGTCCAGGAAATCAAATAACATTCGCCTTATAACTAAAGTATACTAATACTTATTTTGCTACAATGACGGTAGCTCGAAATTATAAAACTACCTCATTTGTAACTGCTGATAAAAAAAGCTGTACTGGTGGTAGGACCTCTTGTGAGTCCGCGCGGGTAGGTACCACCACCCCGCCTATTTCAGCCGTGAAGCAGTAATGCGTTTCGGTTTGAATTGTGGGGCAGTCGTTGCAACTATACTCAGACCTTAGAACTTATATCTCAAGGTGGGTGGCGCATTTACGTTGTAGATGTCTATGGGCTCCAGTAACCACTTCACACCAGGTGGGCTGTGAGCTTGTCCACTCATCTATGGCACACAAAAAAAACAGACACAAATGCGGATGAGAGCGCGGGCTCCAGTAGGAAGGTTGTCGGAGTACTCACGGCGACACTCGTAGGCCTGCGGCGGCCGGAACATGTGCCACAGCGGCCGCGTGCACACCTCGCACGCCGTCGGGATGTGGTACGTGATGCTCACCAGGTCGTGACCTTTGTGCTGCACCGTGTTGCCTGCAATAAACGCAGCAAAAATGAACAATCTCCGTCGTCCTCACAGACAGACAGACGAAGACGTATAGTAGGTGTGGCGATTCCTGACATAATACCGCTTAAAAATTTGGATTAAAAATACATTTTGCAAAGGTCTTTATTGTGCGTTGTGCGTAGTCCTCCGGAACCCTCATTGGAGCGGTCAATAAAACCCTACGTATAATCAAATGTTTAATCGCGTCAGCAACCACGGTGGATCTCTGTACGTTAACCACCGATTGACTAACGTATGTCGCTTATAACTGATAACATTCCCCTACAAGATGAACAGACAAATAAATAGTTATAACTAGAGGTCGGAGTAGGCAGAGTGATTTAAGGTCGTTGACGTCAAACGTAGAGGATAATATGGATATGCCTCCAAAATACCGGAACTTCATATTTATTGTGATATTTGTTCCGGAATTTTGAAATTAGCTTGAATCTGTGTTTAAGGTGAAAAATGTATTAATAATATTAATCTACGCTACCAGTGCTAGCTAATGGTGAAAGAAATCAGTATTTTATTTTATACAATAACACCTTGGAATAGTTACACCGTATTTTGTCCCTTTCTGTTGAATTAGAAATGACGCTTGTCAGTATGAGACAAAACTTAGACAGGGCTTTTTGTTACTTTATCTCATAAATATAGAAATTGTATCCGATGTGAATTAATTTTTGGAGTTTATTGGAGTTTACTCCTTAAGAATCGATTTACATATATAGGCCCGGGGTATGAAAATTATGGGGACCAAAATCGTACTAGCATGTACACGAAATGCGTTATGCGCCTGATTGGCTCCTGATTGCGTGATGCGTGCGCGCGCCAATCAGGAGCCAACGCGCGGCCGCGTTATCGCAGGTGACGCCGGGCTGCTGCGCCGGCAGTCCGCCACAAAGCCTCGTACTGATCGCGCGTTTCTCTCATTATTGTATTTTCATATATTTGTTAGTCGTTTGTTTTGTGTCTCGTTAATTTGTTAATAATCTGTAGTGTATCGTGTTGTCGTAATATAGAACTATTTCTCGTATTGTTTCGTTTAATTTTTTATATCCAGTAAACTCCAGTCGTGCGTCGGAGCGGACACACACATTTTTTGGAGTTTACTCCTTTAGAATCGATTTACATATATAGGCCCGGGGTATGAAAATTATGGGGACCAAAATCGTACTAGCATGTCACACGAAATGCGTTATGCGCCTGATTGGCTCCTGATTGCGTGATGCGTGCGCGCGCCAATCAGGAGCCAACGCGCGGCCGCGTTATCGCAGGTGACGCCGGGCTGCTGCGCCGGCAGTCCGCCACAAAGCCTCGTACTGATCGCGCGTTTCTCTCATTATTGTATTTTCATATATTTGTTAGTCGTTTGTTTTGTGTCTCGTTAATTTGTTAATAATCTGTAGTGTATCGTGTTGTCGTAATATAAAACTATTTCTCGTATTGTTTCGTTTAATTTTTTATATCCAGTAAACTCCAGTCGTGCGTCGGAGCGGACACACACACTTTTTTTTTTTTTTTTTCATTTTAAGAAAATACTCATTATGGATAAAATGGCATGTCCATATGACGCAAGTATATAAAATCTACCTACTGCGACCACTGATTATAACTGAGTGTGCGGTATTGCGCACCTTGATGGTCGGTGGAGTCCTGCGGCTGGTCCTGCTGGTCGGGGCGGCGCGCCTCCCCCTCGCCCGCGTACAGCAGCTGGAAGATCCGCGGGATGTCCTTCGCGTCGGCGCGGATCACGTCGCCCTGCGTCACGGAGCGCACGTGGAACACCTTGCTGCGGAAACGAGGTTTATTCCTTATGATACCATTAACTGCATGGAATAGCTCTTGGATGGGGTAAATTCTCTACATCCAATCTTAATAGCTACAACTCCCACAAGAGAGGCAGACTGAATTGACAAAACCATTATTTTTTTAAATTTAAATTGCTCTTAGGGGTTATGTAAAAATCATGACCTAGTTATTTAGCATCTATTTAATGATATTTAGTCTATTATTTGTTTGTTTTGGAAAAACGATTTTATTCCTTATTTATATTATTAATGACAAGAAAAAAAATACGCACGGAGACCAGATCGTGAGATGTTATATATTCTCTATATATACTTAGTCTGGCCATAAATACTGTTACAATTAAAAATAAAAAAAATATTACATTTCAATTTGGAATCTGACGTGTTTATATGATTGCTCGTTGGGTTTTCTCATTTTGGCGCCAATACATTGTACAATATTTTGCGATATTAAAATGGAGTGGGGTGATAAAGAGAACCGAATCGCTGTGATTGCATTACACAAAGTAGGTATGGAGCCAAATGCAATTTTTTAAACTCTCCATACCCTTGGTATTAGTAAAATGTTTGTGTACCGGGCTATTAATGGGTGCAATGACACCTCCTCTGTTTGTGACAGAAAAAGATCTGGCCGTCCACGTAGTGTTCGTACGAAAAAGGTGGTCAAAGCAGTAAGGGAAAGAATTCGAAGAAATCCTATCCGAAAGCAAAAGATTTTATCTCGGGAGATGAAGATAGCACCTAGAACCATGTCGCGTATTTTAAAAGATGACTTAGGACTTGCAGCCTATAAGAGACGTACTGGTCATTTCTNCCGTCCACGTAGTGTTCGTACGAAAAAGGTGGTCAAAGCAGTAAGGGAAAGAATTCGAAGAAATCCTATCCGAAAGCAAAAGATTTTATCTCGGGAGATGAAGATAGCACCTAGAACCATGTCGCGTATTTTAAAAGATGACTTAGGACTTGCAGCCTATAAGAGACGTACTGGTCATTTCTTAACTGATAATTTAAAAGAGAAAAGGGTGGTAAAATCGAAACAACTACTGAAGCGGTACGCAAAGGTAGGTCATAGAAAAATTTTGTTTATGGATTAGAAATTTTTTACAATTGAGCAACATTTTAACAAACAAAATGGCCGTATTTATGCTCAAAGCTCTAAGGAAGCTTCCCAATTAGTCGACAAAGTGCAACGCGGGCACTATCCGACTTCAATGATGGTTTGGTGGGGTATTAGCTATGAAGGAGTGACTGAGCCATACTTTTGTGAAAAATGTATCAAAACATCGGCACAAGTGTATCAAGATACCATTCTTGAGCAGGTAGTGAAGCCCCTTAACAACACCATGTTAAATAATCAAGAATGGTCCTTCCAACAAGACTCGGCGCCAGGTCATAAAGCTCAGTCTACGCAGTCTTGGTTGGAAACGAACGTTTCGGACTTCATCAGAGCTGAAGACTGGCCGTCATCTAGTCCCGATCTTATCCGCTGGATTATGATTTATGGTCAGTTTTAGAAAGTACGGCTTGCTCCAAACGCAATGATAATTTGGAGTCTTTAAAACAATCCGTACGATTGGCAGTGAAAATTTTTCCCATGGAAAGAGTGCGTGCTTCTATTGATAACTGGCCTCAACGTTTAAAGTACTGTATTGCAGCCAATGGAGACCACTTCGAATAAACTTTTTACACTTTAAATTGTTTTATATTTATGTATTAAACTAACACACTGTAAAAGTAATAAATGTTATTTGCCATAGATTTTTTTTGTTTTCCTTTGTAACAGTATTTATGGCCAGACTAAGTATAGCACTCACTCTCTGCTTCCAGCTGCAGAGTTTAAAGCGAAAATCAGTAATCTACATCAAAAGGTCACAAACCTCAAATCCAAGATCATGACGGGATCTGTGGTATTCTGTTTATCGTTCTCAGAGTTGTAGAAGATGATCTTCTTGGAGGAAACGACGACGTACTGCTTCTTCCAGCCGTGCCTGCGTATGTTCTGCTTGAACGGCACCGAGAGCCAGCCTTCGAGGATCTGCTCGTTCTCGCCGTCCTCCGCGTCGGCCGACGACTGCGACGCCGTCTCGCTGGTGAGCGCGGCGAGCTTCTCCTTCAGCTGCTCGATCTCAGCGTCTTTGCTGTCAACCTGGAAATGTTATGTTAACCACTTCAATACACAGAACTGGTGTTAAATCTGCACTATATTGTACTGTACTAGATACCTTGTTTACTGCTGGTAGGACCTCTTGTGAGTCCGCACGGGTAGGCGCTACAACCTGTCTATTTCTGCCATGTAGCAGTAATGCGTTTCGGTTTGAAGGGTGGTGTAGCCATTGCAACTAAGCTGAGACCTTAGAACTTATATCTCAAAGTGGGCGGCATTTACGTTTTAGATATCTATGGACTCCAGTAACCACATAACACCAGGTGGGCTGCCAGTTCGTTGACCCATCTAAGCAATAAAAAAAATGTAACAGTGAACAATTTGTTAGAAAATGTGTCTGTTAGAAAATGTAACGAATACATTCACCTTTATTTTAAATAGCCTTTAGGAAATGTATCTGTTGATTACTTTAAAAAAGGAATGCTTGGTTCCTTTGATGCTATCAATTTGTCCATTATTGTAATAGTCTCGTGTCAAAACGAAATAAAAAACCGGCATATAAGTTGACTCTTAATCTTAGAACACATTCTTTCTCGAGTAATTTTGAATAGTTTTTCTCACAGTTCCTAAATAGTTTATGGTGCTCAGTTAAAATTTCAATTGGACTTTTTTTTTGTTGGTTGATGGGTGGACGAGCACACAGCCCGCCTGGTGTTAAGTGGTTACTGGAGCCCATACACATCTACAACGTAAATGCCGCCACCCACCTCGAGATATAAGTTCTAAGGTCTCAAGTATAGTTACAACGGCTGCCCCCACTCTTCAAACCGAAACGCATTACTGCTTCACGGCTGAAATAGGCAGGGTGGTGGTACCTACCCGTGCGGACTCACAAGAGGTCCTACCACAAGTAATATTATCTTTTCTAACCTCCATGGCAAGTCTAAGCCTGGTGGACTGCTCGTCCAGCAACTGCTGCTGACAGTCCTGCAGGTCCCGCTGCAGCTTCGAGATGTGCTGGTCGAACTTCTCCTTTTCCCGGGTCAGCTCTTGCTGCAGCTTGCGGTAATCCTTGTCCTTCCGGACCGACATCTTGCTCTTATTCTTGCCCGCAGTCGGGTTCATGTCTTTCCTGTTAATAAATTAATTACATTTTCAATTGTATTTCTTTATTGCTTGGATTAGTGGACGAGCTCACGACCCACCTGGTGTTAAGTGGTTACCGGAGCCCATACACATCTACAACATAAATGCCGCCACCCACCTTGAAGCATGAGTTGTAAGGTCAAGACACAAGACGCCCTGCCACCACTAATTACGTAAATTATAATTTTTCGGGTTTTATTTTATTTTATTGCATACGAATGCACCGGACGACTTATCATCTAGGCCACGACGACTTAGAAATATTAATAAATTTTATCCTCTGCTCATAATGGAAAAACAATATTCAGTTAACGTTTAGGCCCAACGAATATTGTCAAGTATTCAATTAAATTTATTATATTTGAAATACATGTCTTATATGCGCCCCCGAGGTCCCGGGGGCTACGTCACCTGTTCATGATCTCAGCGAGCTTGTTGACCGCCTGCTGCTTGAGCATGATCTCGGAGTTGAGCTTCTTGTTGAGTCGGTCCAGCTCGTCCTGCAGCCGCTGCAGCGACGCCACGCGCTCCGCCAGCGCCGTGCCGCTGCGCCGGAGCTCGTCCACCTCCTGCCCACAACAACGCGCATCTAGCCATCCATTCTAAACTATTTAAACTAATTATTAATTAAAATCACAAAATTATTAAAAATCTCCAAAAGGACCTCGAATTGTTTCAAGACAAAGAATATCAATTGCTTTATGAAGTCTTCTTCGTGAGGAGAGAAGATTCCACCTTTTTTAGAATTATCACTACAACTAGACCCCAGACTAATGCAAGCTTTTTTTACAACACTTTAGTAAGCACTTTTCCAGAAAATTATGCGCAAATATGATTTCTCAAATAGAATTCCCCTTTGGCATATTATGGTTTTTCTGCAATTGCGGTTCATTTGAGTACTCTTACTCTTTCCTTAATTTTGATTACTGTAACTGACAAATTGTAAATGTCAGAAGAGTATCCGGTGAGGCTGCTAAGAATTTTTTTTTTTACCATTGTCGAATTTAAGGGCTTTAATAAAATTTTAAGCAGGTATATAAATTATAATGACATTAAGACTTGGACCAGCCTCGATGTGGGCGATGGGCAGTGTCAGTATTCACTTGTGATGTGTCCGGGCTGCAGAAACTTACTTAACGCCAGCAGGGCTCAACCATTAAAGTCATTGCTCATTGAAGTCAGTCGTTCTCTTAGCTCTGAGGGACTACTCTATTTGTGATAGGATGGTCAATGTTCCACACTACTCTATTTGCGAGCAATTCTATCAAATCGTCTAAATTTGGAGTTTTTTAAACAAGATTATGATTAACACAAGTATTATTACACAGACTTAACAAAATATTACAATAAAATTACACAGCAACGAACAGGTAAAACGCGAAATTAACCCATAACAATTTCTTTATCAAATTTACTGGAAACATTGTATATCCTCAACCTAACTCAATACTAAATAAATTCATGCCACCAGTAAAGTATACATTACTTCAGTTGGTATATTCGTTCAGATTACTGTTTGATTGATGAGAATAAGCTCTATGTTTATTGGAGTTGAGTAGATTTTGGTTCGAGCAGCCAAGAGTGAGGGTACCTTCCGCTGCAGGTCGATGGTGGCGCGGTTCTCGTGGTCCCGGTCCCGCAGGCCCTGCAGCATGTTGTCGCGGGCCGCCAGCTCGGCGCGATGCTGGGACACAGCTTCCCGCATCTCTAACTCTTTCATTGTCTTCTCCTTCTCCAATTCGCCAACTGTCTCTTCCGCTATCGATCTGTAACATATTCATTGTTATAATAACACGCAAACGAGTCGGCTTGTAATTTACATATAATTTTGAGATTTAAACTCACTGCCACTATATCAATTATTTAAATTATAAATAAGCAATGAAAAAATAGTTAAGTACCATTTTTGTTACTGACTCTTTTATCATTTATGACCGTATGTCAAAATTCTTTTTTGTGTGGTAAATTTTAATGAATATCTTTAGTTGACAATGTCAATAACAAAATAGCAAAAAAAGGAATGTAATATGAAAATAAATCTAAATTTTGAGGTGCTGTGATTATGGTCGAATTTGGATTACCACGCCAAAATGAGTTAGAATAGTAGTTTTTAATTAGATAACTTTTCAAAATAATAAGTCTAATTTTCGCGGGATTCTGATATATAGTAAGATATACCCAATACTACTAAATTGAATATTACTATGATGAATATTATCAATTTAATCACAAAAAACAGTTCTGATCATTTGGTGTGCTTCTAACCTTGCAATAGCCTCAGAGTCGGCCCTAGCGATGGCGAGCTGTAGTTGATGCAACAAGCTGGACCTTTCTTGTTCGAGGTCCCGGGCAGCGCGAGAACTCTCCTCCACCTGGGTGCGGATCTCGTTGACCTGACTTCTATACACATGGCAGTAATGTTGCTCATTCTCCAACTGAGAGCGCAACTCTTCACTCTGTAAAAAACAATTTCACTTTAAGGCATGATCGATAAATATATTTTTTTATTCATAAAGTCAAGACTAACTTTAACAATTACCTAATAAAAGCCAATTATCGAGAATATCGTACACGTTATAAAGTATAAACCATCTTGAGACATTTAACGAGCTATTAAAAGAATTTAATGGTCTCTCGAGATGAGATTCAATTATCAAATAATAAGCTTCACGTCACACGTTCATAAGTCACCGCCAGTCGTGAATGTTTGTAAAACATTAATCGTAAATAAGATAAGCGGAGGCGCATTTCATTCCACAACATTATTAGAGTGGCTGATGATGACCAGGAAATTAAATTAATGCGACGCAACATTCCCGACGGTCGCGGTCATAACGCTACTGTTTTATAGTTATGTTTTCATTGCCACGGCCCGTGTTTGTTCAGCATTAACGTTTAAACGTAAAGACACTATTGTAACTGTGTTGCACCAAATTCAACCCCGACCATTATTATTGTTTCTCGATTTAATGATTATCGCACGACCAGAAAGATGATACATGATCTCTTTTTCAAAACACAAATTGCTTGATTGTTTTGTAGTGTGTTGTGGTTTATACAATTTATTTTATTTGATATGTATTTCTTATCTATGTATTTGTATGTGTGTATTTATGTGTTTATTTTGGTAGTGTAATTACAACTTAGTGTTTATTTTCAATCATGTCTACTATAATTCTTTAAATTATCGCCATGTATTAACTTTATCACAGCTACGCACTATTTCATCAAACAGGGTTAACTGAAAGAGAGTTTCTGCATAACGTTAAGTTCGCCTTTATACAATATTTTTATGCAATAAAGAATGTTCAATCAATCAATCAAGAAAGCCTTGAAATACCAGATTTCACATAAATGCCAAGTCACAACACGATACTGCATTGATATATTTTAATTCTAAGAACATTTATCGGCTCATTGTTGAAGGAGGCTTCTTTGTTTTTCTAGGAAACGAATCTAAGTGGAGATTACGAACAATAATTGTATAAGAATAAATTTTTTTTATACAACCATATTCATTTACGCTAACGTCACGAGATTTTTGTGATTGTGAAAAACTATAACGCTTTTAAAGTTTTGAAGACAAACTTATTAATTAAGAACGGCGTACGATAGATTTAAACAAGAGTTCAATCCGTAGAAACCGTCTCAAAAGACCGTCATAAATATCAAGGTCGGCGAAGAATAATTTTCATAGTTTGGCAAATCGTGAAACAAGCGGTACGAGAACACGATATCATAATGTGTTTATCATATTATTCTATCTGGAAACATACCACGGCACGGTGCAGACCAATAATAATAATGTATTAATTTATGTGAGTGTACTTTGAGACAGCCGGTGTGGCTGTTGCGATTTGATAACGTATTTATTTTTATTGTCATTCGCTATGGAATCTCGTATATTCCTCTACTATTTTATCCTCATATTTAAAAACGTGTAACAGTTATTCAAACACTAAGCTCCTCGCTCAATGACATCGTAATACACGGAAAAAGTTTGACGGTCGTATTCCGTGAATCATTAATGAACTTGTATTTTAATTGAGAAAATCACATATTAATAAACATGTGTATGTAGGTACGTGAGGCATGAAATAGAAGAAAAACCACCGCACACGTAATCGAGTGTTTGTTTACTTGGGGTCGTCTCAGGCGCAGGTACCACGTATAAGGCAAATTGTGTGCGCCGATGTGTATGTGTGTGCTGGCTTGTCTACAATGAGTCACTGTGTCGTAATGCTGGAGGACAGTCTATTTCGGCGCGATGAGATTATGATTAATTCACAAGAAACGTAGTTCGTTTATATTTTATTTTAATAGAAACGGTAATCATAGCTCGCATTTTACATTTTGTTGTTGCCATCTAGGTCACGGATTTTCAGTCAATTCCGCGATATACACAAAAAATTATAATTATCAAATAATATATCTCTGTATGTTTATCTATTATTATACTTAAAAACAATTAAACGTGATACATTTTCCTACGGTCATCTCCGAAGTAAAGGTCAAGTTTAACGTCAGAGATGCCGTCGGCATGTTTTTTTTTTTTATTATTATGAAAACGCTATTCTGTGATTTATGAAACTTAAACGGCGTCATAACTAGAAATAACGGAGGTTTGTCACTGAATGCCGTGACAATTACTTGTAATAGAACGCTTTTTGTCTATTTACCCACAAATTTATATGAATGGAGAATGAGTGGTTCCATTTTCACTTAATTGATTTTATAACTGACTTTTTTTTAATAATATGAGTGCAAATCTCTCCAATAGAAATTTAACTCAAACTACCGAATAATATTAAGGAAGTTTTTTTGTCACTAAACTATAAGCAATAACCGAATATAAACTTTCTAATCTTGGTGTTTCTAAATCATATTATGAGTGTAGTTATGCAGTACAATTTGATTTTAAATAAATAAGCTGAAGCCATTTAACATAAACCGTCATCAATTTGTCAAATCATTGAAGAGGGGACGTCGTTGTGTTAGCCTTAGTTACTCCAAAAATATATTTAGTACCGAATCATATAGCTCCACAACATTTTCAAAGGTTTTTCGATAAAAATCCGAAACAATATTCCAAAAATATTATTTAAAAACTTATATTATTTAAAAAAAAACTTGTACAATAGTAATTTTATTGTCTTCACGTGTCTGCTGAACGGTACAGACTTTAAGAATTCGCAGTAGTAAACACAGAAGCGATCAATTTACTTTACGAATATTTTCAAAGTAAATATAATGTGAAAATGTTTACTGTGCCGGTGGGTGGCTCAGTAATATCATATGCGCCTCTCGTGGCAGAGGTTGGGTTTCAAAACTGTAAACGTACCACTATAAGTTTTATTCTTAATCGTTACTTTTCTGTATTGTGAATAAATGAAACGGCGAAGCTAAAGTTCAATAATCTTGCTTTCATCCGTAGACCCGTCTTGGAAATGATATCTATATGTTAAACACATATCAATTACACAATATTATGTATAATGTTTATGAAGAAAATTTTGTTTATCAAGAACCGAAGAACGTTTATCACAGCATATTTGATAGAAGCCCCAGATAATTTATTGGTAATAGGGTCTCTACTAAGTTTTTTTAATTGCTTAGATGGGTGGACGAGCTCACAGCCCATCTGTCCATAGAGATGTAAAACCAGACAATATGTTGATAGATAAACATGGCCATTTAAAGCCAGCCGATTTTGGTACTTGTATGAGAATGGGACTGGATGGTTTAGTTCGAGCAAGCAATGCTATGGGAACTCCTGATTATATATAATATATATCTCGATGAGATATATCTCGATGAGATATATCTCGATGAGATATATCTCGATGATTGATTATATAGTATCGGTGTCGTTACCCTGGCGTAGTACATGTCCCGCTCTGCGCTGGCGGCGGCTAGTTTCTCGGAGGCGTCGTGCAGCGCGGCGCGCACGGCGTGCAGGTCGCGGGCGCGCGCGTCCCGCTCGGCGAGCGCGGTGCGGGCCGCCGCCTCCGCCGCCGACACCTCGCCCGACGCCGCCAGACGAGCCGCGCGCTCCTGCTCCAGCGACGCGACCAGCCCGCATACCTGCAGAAGAGCCCCGGCAATTATATTTCAGAGCAAACGACAGTTTAAACAAGGATGACAGTAAAAAAAATTTTGAACACAAAAAATCTATACATATAAAAATGAATTGCTTTTCGTTAGTCTCGCTAAAACTCGAGAACGGCTGGACCGATTTGGTTAATTTTGGTCTTGAATTATTTGTGGAAGTCCAGAGAAGGTTTAAAAGATAGTTAAGTATGAAAATGCACGGAATTAAATAAAAATAACAATTTTTTTTCCCTTTGACGTGTTCCCCGTTGGACGGATTCCTTTTGTTTGTTCTAAGTTTATTTTATACAAAAGTTTAGGTCTTTTATCTATCGATTGAGGGGTCAGCTAGTAAATAATAGTTTAAAAAAACTAACAAAATACGCTTTCAAATAGAAAAAATAGAAAATAACTTTTAATAGATTTGAATTAAAAATAGTGTAAGAAAAAATTATTTTATTTCGTAAAAAAGCATGGGGTGCTTTTCAGAATATTATCAAAATAGCCCTTCTACACATATCTATTCATAAAATATTTATAACTACTGATACCATGCACCCCACGCTTTTTTTACAATAAAATCATCTCTTCTTATACTATTTTTAATTCTCTATTTTTTAGTTGAAATTCAATTTTTTCATATATTTTTTGCAGTTTTTTTTAAATATTGAATTGTCATCGATCCTTAATAAGTATACCAAATTTCGAGTTAATCCGACGTTTTGAAGGGGGAGTCAAAATCATGTTCAAAGATTTCGTTACAAACATACTGAAGCTAATAAAAGCGTATTAATAAAATAGTAGTACCTTTTCGCTTTCTTGCCGATGTTCGCCCTCTAGTTTCTGGAGTCTCTGCTGCATCTGTCTGTAATCAACGCTGAGCATCGACATCTGTCGGTCTTTCTCTTGACAAGCTGATTCCGACCGTTGTCTGGCAGTCTTTTCTTCGTTCAGCTTAGTTTGCAGGGCTATTACCGTGACGTAAATTAAAGTTTATTTTTTTATTCTTCGTTAAGAAAAAATTAACAGGTTATAATACCTCGATCCATTTTAATATGACCGATAAAATCGTAATTATCTTAATTAAACTAGAGGAATCGTGATTTTGAAATTGGTGCTTCTAGTCACAGAACACACAGTAAATATAGTAGTATATTAGCAAACTGAACTATACCTTTCAATATTTTTTCCAATGTTCCTGATGCATGCAAAAATATGAAGATTTCAAATGTTTGGTTTGTATCGTTCAATGAGACGCGCAATTTAGCTAGTTCAACATGATAAGGAATATGGCATGGAAGTATTTTATATATTTAAGTAAGAATGCTTTAGATTATTAATACTCACTCTTGACTAGTTCCAAGTTGGCTTCTTGTTTAGAGAGAAGCTGAGATCGTTGCGTGTCCTGATGTGCACGCACCTCTTGTTGATATAAATGTTGCGCTGATCTTAACTCATGAGATAATGAAGTGCATTCCTTCTCTAGTGAAGATACACGTTCTGTTAATTGTCTGTTATCAGCGATCATTTGAGATAATCGTGTCGAAGTGCGCTCCAATTCTGCATGAGCCGCATTGAGTCTGCAGGTGGCCTCAGTGACCGCCGCTTCCGAACGTTGTCTAGCTGCCTTAACTTCGCTCAGTTCCTCTGATAAAATACTTCTCTCTCGTTCGAGAGCATCACGTTGAGCCCGCAAGCTGGTTACCGTGCCGTCGTTGACAGCTGCGGCAGCGGCCTGGGCAGCCGATAGCTCGGCAGCTTGCTTCCTAGATTTGGCTGCTGCTTCAGACTCCTGTTTTAGTTTCTCTCGCAATTCTTCGAGCTGTTTTTCTAATGCGTTAATTTTTTCGTTGTATATGTGTAAATTACTCATTTCTTTCGTTCTCTTGGTTTGTTCCTCTTCAAGACGACGTTTTGCCTCATTGAGATTAGCTTCAGCCTTTCGTCTAGATTCTACTTCCAGTTCAGCTATCCGTTGAATTTCTTTAAGATCATGTCTCAGTAATGCAACCTCTTTATCGCTTTCAGAAATTATTTTTTTATTGCGTAGTTCTCTCTGTGATAGTTCTTCGAGCTGAGCACATAGGGCAGCTTGAGTATCTTCTAGTTTACGTTTGCCATCTCTTTCTCTTTCGAGCAGTTTCTCTAGTTGATATATGGCTTCAGATCCATCATTGTTGATATGATTATTAGATATTGTGTCTACTACGTCATTTGCTTTCTTTTGGCGAGTGCACAATTGGTAATCACCATTATAAGTGAAACCAACAAATGGCAAATGATTACCAACAAATGCTTTTGGTACAGGAAAGGATTCATCAAGTGCATCTGATTTTTCTATATCATCAAAGTTCCTAGTATCATCATCACTGGAGAGTTCAGGCACCACAGGAGGTACAGAATCCCTCAGATTTTCAAAACTCCATTGATCATTTATAAAAAATGGATGCTGTTTAATTTCATCCACACTGTTTCTACCTAATCTTTTAGTTCTATCAGTTAAAAGCCCTCTAATTAGAGACTTTGCTTCTTTTGAGATCTCAACATCATCAGGAAACTGTAAAGAATTCCTGTGATCCATAATTTTACCATACGTGCCCACTAAACTATCAGCATAAAAAGGAGGGTCACCAATAAGCATTTCGTACAAAAATATTCCTACTGCCCACCAATCGCACTCACGCCCATATACTCCTTCACCATTTTGTGACTGCAGAACTTCAGGAGATATATAATCAGGAGTTCCCACAGCATTGCTTGCTCGAACTAAGCCATCCAGTCCCATTCTCATACAAGTACCAAAATCAGCTAGCTTTAAATGGCCATGTTTATCTATCAACATATTGTCTGGTTTTACATCTCTATGGACAAATCCCATGCCATGAATAACATCCAGAGCAAGAACAATCTCCATTGTGTAGAATTTTGCCCATTTCTCTGGTATGTCATAGTTCGACATTAGACTGACAAGATCACCACCAGGCATATAATCCATTACCATATAAAGATATTTATGATCTTGAAATGCAAAATGCAATTTTAGTATCCAGTCCGAGTTGGCATGGGCCATAATGTGCCTTTCTTCCCAAAAGAATGTGGAGTCTGACCTCTTAATCATTTCTACTTTACTAAGAAGTTTCATGGCATAAACATGGTTGGTAGACTTTTGTCTGACTAGTTGTACTTCACCAAATGCCCCTCGTCCAATCACTTTAATTAAATGGAAATCAGCTGCCTTCATTCGCAGATTAATAATTTCTGAAGAAAACTCTTCATCTACAACAACAAAAAGTTATTTGTCACTTATTTATTTTTTTATTCCAAATATTGGAACCCCTACATTGGAACTCTTCCCATAAACAAAAGCTGATAGTAATGCTGGTGAGTCAACACAATAGTATTAAATCATGTTCCAGAAATTAAGATTTTCCTGTTTTAACATTACAGAATATAAGATGATTCCAAATTGGAAAATACAGGAGCGGCTACCAGCTGCCATCACATTATACTGCAAGGTATTAACATGAAAAGTACATCCAACTATAGTAACATAGTAAATGTTGTCGTCTAGATTATGGTAATTTTCTATCGTTGTAAAAGCTAGTAATAAGGTTCAAATTTCATCAAAACTAGTTACTTAAATTATGGTGATAATGCAAATTATGATATTGTTAATTCATTTATGAATTGGTGATATCATTAATGTAAAAAAACTTAAGTAAGGGTAAATCCATATATTGAACTATCTTTCCATCTATTTTCAAAAAAAACAAAAACACTAGATATTGATGGTGGACCTACAATCATCAATTGTTACAATAGTCTGATATAACAATATTGAGCATCATTTTATAAATCTGATCTTCTTTTTTTTTAAATCAGATGATGATGTAATTGTAAAATAAAATTAAAAGACATTTTGAGTAGGTACATACTGCATGCCTACATGTATAAGAGTAAAAAAAGTTAAATATTATTTTATAATTTGTATAGGTTGGTGACAATTTTCAACCTATACAAATTAAAGATGTTACTAAACAAAATAAAATAAAAATATCATTAATCTTTCACTGCCTAGTCTCATTATTGCTAAACCCTCTATTATTAGTATTTTGATTGCTATTAATATTTGTTCCCAACCTGTTATAAGTTTAATTATCTAGTAATTTGTCTTTATTGCTTACTTTAAGCACCATCATGATTGTTATTTAGATTTAGATTTTTTTAAATTCTGAATTATAGTTTAATTATAAATAATTAGTAAATTGCCATAATTTATGAATAAATCAAATAGGTTTATAGGATTCCCTTTTTTTCCCAATTAGAATTTACAACTTCTATTAGTGTAGATTGAATTTTTTAATTTTTATTTTTTTTAATTATAAAAGTACCTTAACCCTTTCAGATGCCATCTAATGCATGCTGGCATGTAAAATGATATACGCACATTATTATGAAGCTGATAAAACTTACTTCAAGTCTGATTGCCTTGCATTGTTATCTTTTTAATCATTAGATAAATATCTATATAAACTATAAACAAAAGTTCACTAATGAAAATAAGTAACATATGTGTTTATACATACAGTGATGTTGCCAAAGGTACCTATTTGATAAATCCAAATATTTTTTCAATAGTTCAGTATTTTATGGCATTGTTTACTTACATCTACTAGTGTAGGCTTCGACGTTTTTCATGCGACGAATAGCTGGATGGTCACAATCGGACACGAGCGCAGTGACGGTATCCAGTAGACAGTCCACATTACCGGTGGAACGGGGGTCACACAAACGTTCCTCCAACGCATGAAGACGCCTCATGCGATCCTCATCCTTCACTTCCATCCTGTTGTGTTCTTGATCTCTGTGGCCACTAAGGCTAAACACTACAATACATTCTCCCAATTGCTTCTCCGAATATGATCACTAGTTTACTCACGACATATCAATAAATTAGAATTATTTTTCGCTTCGTTTGCATTCGTCTATTCAATAACCTAACATTCGATTGGCAACTTGTGTTTCATTATCGAAAATTTCAGTTGCTTACGGCATAGAATGACAGAAGATAAAGGTGGTTCTCACAACAAAGCATATGCACATTTACAAACACAAACGTCATGTAGAATTCATTGATTACCATATAATAATTTCTAACTACTAATAAACACTTATTTACGTTTACAGTTGGCACAATATAAAAAAATAACGTAAAATGAGCAATTCGAGCTTAATTTTTGATGGATGTACTATGATCATGATCGAACAATAATCTGAAGTTAGGTTCAAACTAGTGGTCACTGCTTTTTTTATTTGGCTTTGGGTACCTATTGTTTCAGTTAATTAACCCGATTCAAAGCAATCAGGCCACTAGAAAAAAAATTACTAAAAGTAAAAAGAGTGTTAATAGTGGTACTCTTTATCTTAAGAAATACTAATGACCTTTACTTAAAATATCTCAGATCAATTGTTTTTCATTTATTTTACAAATTTGAGATTGGGACATTCAGTCGATTTCTCGAATGTAACAACGATTTGACTATATTCTATTAATCATAGACAAAACTATAATTGATAATAATTAAGTTTTATAACTGATGGTATGGAGGTAAGTCTAGAAGGAAAAGCCTCGATGTGTATTAAAATAATATCTGTAAAATCAAATAACTTCACTAACCAATCCTTCATATAGCAGGGTAGAATTAAGAAATTAAATCCGTATAAACTTGGTTGGTAATACTCTATTGTTTTATTAAAGGACATGATTGTTCCAACTTACCCGTGAAGATCATAGCAAGTTCTACCATCATATTAAAAAGTTCACACCGATTGCGGCTGTTGGAGTAATCTTTTACATCTTGAATTCTAGTTTGGAAATCAGTCACCAACGCAAATTAAGTCACTTATAAAATAAAAAATTGACATGAATTCGGATTCTCAATATGGCCTCTTTAAGACATCACATCATAAGCAGTAGGTACAAAATTTTCGGAGCTCTCTCGGAGCCATTTGTACGGAAGTTCTTTTTTTTTCCTACCTAAGCTGATAGCCCTGAGTGGCTATTTTAGCGTAGCCTTAACTAGTAGGTGAGCTCACGGGGTTCAAGCCTGACATGTTGCTAACACGAACCTTAGCATGAGCCGTGCTTCGTAGAATCTACCATCGGATTGGGAACGCGACTCACTGAGAAGATCCGGCGAGAAACTCAGTGGGCTTTGTCTGTGGGTTAATTTACGAAGAACGATGACCGGTGCTTGAGGTACCTAAAAGCACCGTTAGTGGATCGGGAGGATCCGATATGATGGGTTTTGGGCGACGTCGATTGCTTTCTATTCTGTCCGCAGGATCGGGAATATAGTTACCAGCGGCCACGATGAGAGAGTTCTTGTGTCGTGCGGCTTTATCTAAGTGGCGCATTGATGCCGACTGTAGATACTTACTGATGGACTCTAGGTCCAGGTCATCATGCAGGTCGATATTCCTGACGAACCACGCACGGGGCTCCGACGGCTATCTAACAAAAACGGGAAACTCTTGTACTCAGATAATGGTCATAGACCCCAGACTGATAAAATAAAACTATGGCGGAATAGCGGAGGACGAGTAGCATAGATTACAGAACAAAATAGCATTTCACACTATTCAGTCATTCGAAATTTTATTATTATTTCATTCGTTCAGGGAACATGGCGGTGCTAGACAGGATGTGAAAAAGTTTTTGATTTTTTTCAGTGAACAGTTGCAAATAACTAGGTTCTTTTATATTCACAGAAGTTGTGTGGTCATTTAAAATTGAAACAAAGAAGTTGCGCAATTAAATGGACCTAATTGTTTTGCAATGAAAATTATAACTTCGTTTCTAGTGTAAAAATAATTGTGAGAAATATATCAGTTTATATCAGGTAAATGGTTGTTTTGTATGATTTCTATAAACCCGAATCGCCTTCTTTTTAACCTTTGGCCCAAAAGTCACCTGTTGTCCTTCAATAGTAGAACAAAAAACTGTCATTTGCAGGTACCTGTGTGCCCCATTTTGGTTCGAAATCACTAGTAATTTAACATACGCGAGAGTAAAAATACAAATCTCATAAAATTTCAAAATCTCATCTTTTATTTTAAATGAAAGACTAACATAGATATAGAAATTTGGATTAATTTCTTTGTGGATCACAATCACGTGTGGTCCAGGTCGTTATGGGGTCAATAACTGCTGACTAAGAATATTCTTTCTCCTTCTGATGATCATACCTAAACTTATTATATCCTGTCATTTAAAAACATGTATTATGTTTAGTAAATATCATACAATTTACTCATATATTATAACAGTCGTCTAACATGTGATTGAGCACTGGTTCATCCAAGTTTATCCAATAAAAAAAGACAACTGACTAGCACAGCAAATGCGCAAGGGAGGGTGTAGTAAAATTATAAAACAGTGCATGTGCATAGCAAAGCTAGTCAGGGCGGAGGATGCAGGGTGTGCGCAGGGAGAGGAGAGGGGGACCCGTTCGACAGTCAGCTGTGCAAAGTGTCATGTTGTCGAACCGTTTGCCGTTCGGTGCCGTGTCGTGAGAAGTGTCCTAAATTGCCTCCCCATTGATTTTACGGAATTTGGCTCTTAAGTTTTTCTAAAAATGAAAATTTAAACTCTTATTCGCATCAAAACATTAAAATATATAATCAGTGTTGGAAAGGAGATGTGAATGTAAGATATCCTTTTATCCACCCTTTAATAATGCATGGTAGTTTGCAACCATCTATCTAGCTCTTTTTACAAAAACTAAATTTTTTTAGAACTCTAGTTAGAAGAATATTTAGCATGCTGCAGGTATATCTTATCAATACCCATCTAACATTGAGTTGACATATTATGATCAATGCTCTAGATAATCACACATTTCTGAAATCTAGTTCCCCTTGTGTGGTATTTTAAAACCACAACTTGCCACTTGTACACATATAAAGATAAATGTTATGTAAACTATCTTAAAAACCACTGAATGTAGTTTAATTTATGAGCTAGGATATTTATTTGACTATTGTGTAACTAGTATTTTTGTACTTTCTTAATACAGCAATCAAACTTTCAGAAATTAATCTGAATATTTCTGTTTTTATTTCAAATATAAAAACTACCCAAGAAAATAACTATGCAGATCTTGCCTAAAACAAAAAAAATTGTTTCATTTGTAAATTTGTATGCATGTAGTACCAATTGTTGTGCAATCACAGTTTTCAATAAAATTCTGTTTATGACTTTGTATTAGCCTTAGCCTAGCAATGCCGATAACAGCTTTATACATACTTGTTCTCACACAACATGGAACTTAATCAGTGTTTGATTAAAATTGTTGATTCATTTCCCGTTGTAAGTACAGACTACTGATTGTTTAAGTGGAATTATATTTTGAGTTGTAATGGTTTTTTTTTTCTTGAATGTATAAAGTTTATATAACCTATTTCATACAATAGCGAATGAAAGTAAATTATGGTACTATAAATATTTTAAATTCTAACTACATGTTTGTTTTTATTACTATGAATGTACAAAAACACATTTTCAACCAGAAAGTAATTGAAAGTATGTAGATAAACTTTTTGCCCCATCAATATTAAGTACTCTTTGAGGGCTTGTCTTAGATTAAATAGATTTATTGATAGTGATGAATATCTTAGGAAATGTACAAACTGTGGATATAATATGTTTTTACTATCAATGAGGTTTTAAAGAGATACTGCCAAATGATTAACTTATATAGTTGTCACACTTAATTGGGATTTTATTTTATAAAATTCTCCTGATAATTTATTCAGAAATATAAAAATCTTAAATAAGAAGAAAAATAATACTCATTACATTAAACCCAATAGAAACATCACTCATGAGTTTCAAGGAATTGAATAGAGCCTAACCATAGCACTGTTAAATTTTGTGATAACCTATATGTCATGATAATGAATTTACATAAATAATGAATTGTAATCTAATATATGTAATTTCAGCACTCCGTGGTGGTCATGGCGACGCTCATCCAAGAGAATGGTATTAAAGAGCTGAGCAAGGGCACCCACGGGGTAGTGGCAAACCATGGCATATCCACACACAGTGTCCCAACACATATGGTGCCAGACCATGAATATTGCGAGACGACCGCACAGACTCCGTCTCAGCGACAGGCTATCACTGAGCTTGCACCGACACAGCCCGCCGTTGATGAAGAAGAGGAGACTCCAGAAATTGATATCATGATAAACAATGTCGTGTGCAGTTTTAGTGTTAAGTGCCACTTGAACTTGAGACAGATTGCATTGAATGGTGTTAATGTAGAATTTCGACGTGAGAATGGAATGGTAACGATGAAGTTACGCCGGCCGTACACGACGGCTTCGATTTGGTCGTCAGGACGCGTGACGTGCACGGGCGCCACCAGTGAAGATCAAGCCAAGATTGCTGCTCGACGTTATGCACGCGCCTTACAGAAACTCGGCTTTGAAGTGCGCTTCCGCAACTTTCGTGTAGTCAATGTATTAGGAACATGTAGAATGCCATTTGGCATACGGATCATATCTTTCTCCAAAAAATACAAGGAAGCAGAGTGAGTATAAATTAAATTTTGTTTCATTAGCCTTGAATTTAAAAATACTTTTAAATTAAAAATAAACAATTATCTCACTCACAAACGAAAGCATCAAATTACACAAATTTTAAGATATTAATAATATATTAATTGGACTTGTGATAAAACTTAGTTCATTACCCTTAATCTGCAAAAAATAAATATTACTTACATATGGGGACATAAAGTTAGATAAAAACAAGTTCATCTACCTCAAATACTCTTTTAAAATTTGGTACTATTATTGATTCTTACACCAAGATTCTTATTGGCAATTTGCCAAGGGAATGGTGAGAAGTTGCACTGAACTCTATTCCGGATGACAGTACTATTTTAATAACCTACAATATTATGTAGAATGAGTAGCTCATATTATACCGAATTTTATTAGCTTATTGAAATTTTTTTGTATTTTAAATTGTAGAATAGGTGAATGAACTCAGAGATCATATTGTGTAATGTAGTTACTGGAATTTTATGAAGTCTTAATTCTATTGTAAAATAAATGTTCTACTCTACAAACCACAATGTATAACTACTTTAGTGCAAAAATAAATGTGATGTGAGACGGTGGTTCCTACTGTTGTTAGTTCACAATGCTCCACAACAACAATGTTGGTTCACTATAATAATATGCAGCATGCTAGTATAATAAATAATCCAAGACTTCTGCTGCCCGTGGCACTTTTGAATCCACTAGTCGCCTTTTGCAATCCCTACAGGAAGATATGAGATGTTGCTATTTTAAGTACACAGCCAAATAATTGGAATTTTATTCTCTAGACTTCTAAAGACTCATTTCAAGTTTAAAACTGACTTTATAATCCTGAGTTCCTTTAGCACTATTACTTTTCAACTCTGATATTATAAGCACAAATCTACTCTCAGTAGACACTTAAAATATTTAAATGAATTAAGTTTTAAATAGATTACAGTATGAGATATTGTTGTGATTTGTTGATTTCATTTTGTGTCCCTTGTATGCTGCTAAACATTTAAGCATTCAAGCTTAAGGATCATCCTCAGGTCCTATTTTCTGTAGCCACTTAGTACCAAGTGGGACGTGAGTTTTCTGTGCGTTTATGACAAGATAGAATTCAGATAACAAAATGCATCAAAATTCCACAAATTTCCCTAAAAAAATTACTACTGACCTAATTTATATCTGCTATACATTTATCAACACAGCTCTTCATTATTTTATACAATTGTAAATTTTATCCTCTGTTTATTGGGCAAATTTAGGATTTTTTGTCAATCTTAATCAAAACTTTTAGTTTAATTTTTGTTTTGTTTTACATTACAGCTATGAACCAGAACTGCACCCTGGCGTAACCTATAAACTGTACAATCCTAAAGCGACACTAAAGATATTCTCCACTGGTGGTGTGACTATCACAGGTTACATGAATTTTTAATATTTATTTTTTATTTTAACTAAAAAGAGATGCTGAACAAATTTATATAAAATTAGCCGTAGCCATCCGCTTCGCTAGGGAATTTAAAAGTAACATTATTGTTTCTGACCTCCACTAAGATTCTCATCATTAAGGCCCCCGCAACCGATGTAGGGAGTCCAACACTCTTATAAATATTAGCCTATCCGTTAAGTACATGTATTTTCTACATGGATACCAAGTTTCAAGTTAATCTGATGCATGGTTCAGTAGTTATAACAGAACATCCGTAAAAAGCACTGTAGAATTTATACTATAGATATGTAAATTATGAAATTAATTATACTGAAGCTTTTTAGATAATTACTGAAAGTAAGCTCATTTCAATTTCTTTAAGTCATTAAAGTAATAAAAATCTCTTTTTCCCTTGACAATGAATCATGTAGGATCTCACAATTTTGTCCTGGGTGCATAATTGTGACATATCCCCTTGTGGGCTATATGAGTCGACTATTATCAAAGCCGGCAATCTCACTTTTGGATAATTATTGATGAATCAGAAAAACGAATTATTGACTTTGTATTCCATTGGCAGTCACAAAACTCTTCGGAACGACATCTTAGATAAATAACAGGTTAACTATTAACCTTTATTTAATGCAGGTTTTGAACTGTATTCTTTGAAGGAGACAATTATATTCAAATCAATCTGTATTGACATATCAATAACATTTTTTTGTCCAAATGCAGAGATTGCCACCTTTGTTAATAGACGACTCATATAAAATAACAAAGTTTTTACGTTACAAAATGGCTCTCTGTACTATGATTTGAGTGATCCCAATATTTGAAAATTAAAACCGACTCTCTGATATTCTTTCCTATGGGTAGTGATAATAGGCTAAGATAGGTAATTATTTAATAAATAAGTAAAGTTAAAACTAGAAATTGTAGAACTAAAATTCCAAAAAATAAAAATATGAACTCAATCTTAAGCCTCTGTAATAGATACCATATTACCTATTAATAAGTTAACAAACAGTAATAATATATGCTGAATATATGCAAATCAAACTGATACTATTAAGCAAATCGGTTTTCCCTCAATAATTATAGTCAACAGGAATCTGTGTCTTATTTCAGAGATAGAGTAAGACTATGCTTAGTCATTTACCAAAATAATGTTTTAGTTGACCTCGGTAATGGTAGGTAAGTTGAGGCTGGGTTACAGAACCACCATCTAACCAGTGAGAGAAGTCTAGAGCTTTTTAACTCAATGGTGCTCACAATCGGCTTCACGTTAAGTAATTATCAATACCACCTTGAATGAAGACTAGAATTATACTCCAAAAGGATGTGCCACCATTTGAATCGGACTGCGAGATTGCTTCGCGGTAGAATAGGCGTGCATCCCAAATATCAGTTCACTAATACACAGCCTGTTTTTGTTTGGGAAAAGAATTATCATAATGTTGCAGAAGCACTAAAATAATATTCTTTTAGTTATTGTTAGAATATATATTAATATATTTATACTGGTAGTAGGACCTCTTGCGAGTCCGCACGGGTAGGTACCACCACCCTGCCTATTTCTGCCGTGATGCAGCAATGCGTTTCGGTTTGAGGGGTGGGGCAGCCGTTGTAACTATACTGAGACCTTAGAACTTATATGGGTGGTATGGTTTCAGTAAGGGTGGGTGGGGGCAGCTGTTGTAACTATACTTGAGCCCTTAGAGCTTATATCTCGAGGTGGGTGGCGCATTTATGTTGTAGATGTCTATGGGTTCCAGTAACCACTTAACACCAGGTGGGCTGTGAGCTCGTCCATCCATCTAAGCAATAAAAAAAAAACGTTACAGAAGCATTAAAATAATTTTCTTTTAGTTATTGTTAGAATAATACGAATATGGTTTGACAGCCCGCAGCGTGAACGACGTGCAGTCCGCGGTGGAGCGCATCTTCCCGCTCGTGCACGAGTTCCGCAAGCCGCGCTCGCCCGCCGACGAGGAGGCGCTGCGACAGAAGCGAGCGGCGCGACAGGCCCCGCCCCCCGCCGCGCCGCGCCCCGTCCCGCCCCGCGCCGCCCCCGCTGACGCCCTCAATCTCGTCACGCTCTCGGACGACGAGGGCGCCGCCGCCTGGGAGTGACGCGCCCTCCGTTTGGCATCCAACCGATGACTGACGGTTGATAGTGTTATCGCGTGTGACTTGTCGGCGACCTGTTCGGTTCATGCCAAAGATATTTATTAGGGAGACGCTTCGCGCTCGGCCGGGCCCCGCCCGCGCTTCTTCGCTCTTCGTCTTCGCGAATTTATCGTTTGTCGCTCCCGTCACCTCTATAGTGTACGTAGATGGAAATCTTATCGTTTGCGTCGAAACCAAAATGATGATTGTTCGTTAACTAATATTGATGTTCGTGAAATAAATCTCGATGAGGATACTCAGTCTCGTTTTTAATTTGCCGCTGTGAAGATTTTGTAGTGATTTTAGTGTTCTATGGAATTTGTTTAGAGAATGAGGACTGAATGATTAGACAATAGTCAATTGTAAATACTGAAAGCTTGGACATTATATGTTTAAATAATAAAAAAACTAACGTGTTTCATTGCTTTACTTACAAACTCTTAAAGGTTCAAACTTGAATGCTATTCACTAATATTATTTCTGTTGCGTTTTGAAAAGTAACAGATCTTTGTTACCTTCCATAGCCTATATTAATATTACAGTATCTATCAACAAAATTAACGTTTTAAAACGTTACACCTCAAATTAGGCTTCATTTAAAATTAGAATGTCCAGTACCAATTCTGGCTGATAGACTATTTTCAGATTCAAAGACCAATAATTTCAACCGAAATAAATGTCTAAAAACTGTTCTGCTATAGTGGATAACTTACCAATAGCGTCTTTTTTATCGTATTTCCAAAGGCAGACGAGCCTGCTGGTCAGTGGTTACCGTCGCCACAGCGGATGAAATCTGCTACGGTGGTTGGTAAATGGTGCTTTTTAAAAATAAGATTGCAGATTTTTTTTCAAATAAGAGCGTTTCCTGGGTCTCGTATGTACTGACGCTAGTTCAAGTTTATTATTAAAACTTATTATTGTATTTACTGGACTTATGTACTTTGTAAACTCTTTTTATTCATTCAAAACTAACGTCGCCGCGAATAATATTACCAAGGCAAAAATATAAAAGTGACACACATACACATCTAGATTGCAACAAGATGCTATTTTTTATATAATATATAAATCTACAGTGGTTTTTACGGATGTTCCGTTATAACTACTAAACTATGCATCCGGTTGACTTGAAACTTGGTATCCATGTAGAAAATACATGTACTTAATGGATAGGCTAATATTTATATGAGTGTTGGACTCCCTACACCAGTTGCGGGGGCATTAATGATGAGAATCTTTGTGGGGGTGAGAAATAATAATGTTAATTTTAAATGCCCAGCGAAGCGGACGGGTACAGCTAGTTTTTTATAATAATAAACGTTATAAACTTCATACAAATTTATTCAGCCTTTTCGTTTGAATTTCATGAATCGGAATCATGAGTGTCGTACTCGTCGCTTGTAAATCTAGCGTGCGAGGGGCGAGGAGGTCTAGCGAGCCTCAATAAGCTCACGGGTGGATTTTTTGCATCAGTCGGAGTACGAATATATGCGCTCATATCCACGACCGACAACCGCGGAGTTCTGACTGCCGTCCCTGGTAAAACCAAAATTCACTTACAATAACATCATCATCTATAATCTAATATATCTAACTACATTATTTTGGGCGCCTTTGTGTGGTCGCAAAGACGCTTTAGATTTTATTGACAGATTTTCACAGTTATATAACCAAAAAATTAATTCTAAATGTGTTATATATAAAACAACTCATTCAAAATTTAAGAAACTGTATTTTCATAGACAAAGTACTCGCCTGTTATGAAAGGTAATAAAGAATTAGTATCGGGCACGGTTCGAGGTCTGGCTCGTAAAGTTATGTGGCGTGAACTCCTCGGAGGCAATGCTTTTAAAGCAGGCGGATAAACCACAGGCAGCGGAGGTGAGACTACACGAGCAGGAACTGCACGTCTTTCAGGAGAGCTGCTGGGAGATCTGAAAATTTTATAGTCTTATACGTTTATGAAGTCGTCATGGCCTAAAGCATAAGACGTCCGGTGCATTCGTGTTGAGCGATGCACCGGTGTTCGAATCTCAGGCGGGTACCAATTTTTGTAATGAAATACATACTCAACAAATGTTCACGATTAACTTCCACGGTCAATCAGTCATAGTGGGTGGCGACATTTACATTATAGATGTCTGGGCTCCAGTAACTTCTTAACATCAGGTGGGCTGTGAGCTCGTCCATTCATCTAAGCCATAAAAAACCTTTACATTCAGTACAGTAATACTACGTACTTTTGATTTAGTGTTTGTCATGAAAGGAAAACGAAGAAAAACCCAAAATGCTTTAACTTATTTATTACTTTAAGATGGATGAACGAGCTCCCTGACCCTCCTGATATTGTGGTCTAAGTGGTCACCGGAGCCTAACAACGTAATGCCGCCACCCACCTTGAGAGATTACTTCTAAATCTCAGTTTTTACAGCACAATGGCTGCCTCGCCCTTCAAGCCGAAACGCACTACTGCTTCACGGGAGAAGCAGGCAGGCTGGTGATACCTACCTACCAATCATAACGTAAATAGAAAATCACCTCTCTCGTCCAGTAATAGGACGTCTCTTTCGACGCCTGCCCCTGGGTTCCTTTTTCTTGCTAGAAATTCCTAACCTTGGAGCTACTATTCCAATATGTCGGTAGTAGTCACATAACCCTTTCACGAGTGATCTGCCTATTTTTGTATCTAAAATTAACGGTCAAGGTGGAAATTGTACAATGTTTTCGATTGTTGAGTTAAATTTGTATTCATCTACAGAGTTACATAATATCAAGCAAAATCATATCGTTCGTATAACTAAAATTTGGGGTTGACTTATGATAAGATACCCGAACAAAGGTACCTATAGGATAGACCGAGGAAAGCAGCTTTAACGAGACTTTTGATCGGAATAATATTCAATATTCTTTTGAGTGCTAGAATTTTCCGGGGACAGTAAGCCTGAAACCAAATTAAGTGTCATTTAATTTTTATAATAATTCCGTTAGCTACCCCGACAGTAGCCATGTTTTTGAGATATCGCTAGTTTCATTTTCCCAGGTTACTAAAATGATCTCAGTTCATAGCTTAATATCAGCGGATGGATTGCATGCGTATTTGATCACCTACGCTAGCAAAAGAAAAGATTCCCTTGTCTGTACTTGTCGGTCATGTGTCTTCCTTGGGACCTTTAAAAATTAGTTTGCTTCCTCTCAAAATCTTAGTTTTTTTAAATCTAAGACTTTAATCCAGATTCTTTCACTACAAAACCAAACCGCTAACATAATGTAAAATGACTTATTCTTAAAAGGATACAAGCATCTTCAGTGTAATGTAAATAAGGTCCTCTGGGATTAAGCCGTCTCCCACCAAGCGATACTAAAATTGAATAAGCGTCAATGTTGCCAGCAACTGGAAGAGCTCGTCGTGCGCTGCCAGCGACGATAGGATCAGCGTTGTAAAGGCAAATCTCTGGTTTCCATGCTTCTATACGACCACCTAAGAATTTAGGTAGCACTGCGTGACGCTCAAACCTGAGTGAAGAAACTTGTTCATTTTGATTTCAATACAAAATTGAAGCATAAAGTTAAAGATCGAGAAACGGATAGTAAGCGTTAAAAAGTCGCAATGGGTCTGACAACACACTATGAATTTATTATTTGCCATTGTAGGCAGGCGAGCATACGGCCCAACTTAAGGTAAGTGGTTAATGACTAGTAACGCACAGCCAAACCACTGTTAACTGAAAAGTAGTACCCTAATAAAGGTAGTACCTACTAAAAACAGAAATAAGTAATCTCGTTTCATAAGGAAACTAGGTGAAGGAGGATACTATAGCGATAGATGGCTGTTTGGGAAGTGTAACGGGTTGAACAGGGGCGCTTGTCTCCCCGCCACTCTGCCCGCCCTAGATGCCGAATCGGCAGTCGTAGGGCGATGACCGCTGCTCCTCTTGGTCCCGGAGGACCGGGCAAAACACCTGGGCCTGGGCCATGCCTCCATTACGAATCGCCCAGATTGTACCTTCCGCTCTCGGATAATAATACTAAGACGGGAATATGTCACTTCCCAGGTTAGAGGTCTGCTTGCCACTTGTAGTCGGCAACAACTAGTTCCGCCTCCAGGATATAGGGGACATTAAAACGGTATAACATTACTTATTTAATCTACACTAATAATGGGTCCGTTTTTGTAATGTAACAAATATTATGTATATCATGTCCGAAGTGTCATTAACATTAAATTAGGTAACTAATCCCGTGTATTTTTTGCGAATTAGTAATAAATAGCCCTTAAAGGTTGTCCTGATTCGGAAACCCGTTTTCAGTTGCCACCCTAGAATTACTGCGCCGCTGACACTAACCTATAGACGTCATCATATGAATTCCCGCGAACAAAAACTCCTTCATGACTTATATCAGCATGTAAATCAATAATGAAGTCCAGTTGGACGCCCTAAAAACAATCATTTAATATAATAACATACATGCTTTCGAACACTTAAAAATAATTATCGCACTAAATGTTCTAACATAAAATAACGCTGGTTACTGTCGCTCTCCGTTAACACCAGGGACACAGCCAAGACTCTGCCTACCGCACCATATTCTTCTTTTTGAGAAGTTCGCTTCGTTTATATTAGGCCTTAAATATTCCGCTTACTATGTAATATCGAAGTCATATCGGAAAATTTCAATTACAAATCAATTTTTTACTGGTGGTAGGACCTCTTGTGAGTCCGCACGGGTAGGTACCACCATCCCGCCTATTTCTGCCGTGAAGCAGTAATGCGTTTCGGTTTGAAGGGTGTAGTAGTCGTTGTAACTATACTGAAACCTTAGAACTTATATCTCAAGGTGGGTGGCGCATTTACGTTGTAGATGTCTATGGGCTCCAGTAACCACTTAACACCAGGTGGGCTGTGAGCTCGTCCAACCATATTAGCAAAAAAAAAAGCCGACACAAATGATATACGTTGGTAAGTCTTAAATATATGTACCTTCTCCGCAGTAAGCTTCTTAATAAGATCGTTAACAGCAACTAGAGCGGGATGAGCAAAGGTCGTAGCTCTGTTCCACGAACGATTTAGGTCGGCTCCAAACAGATCGGCGCGTTGGTTGCCCAGAAATACACCGTCGGGGTTCAGCATCGGTATCACCTAGAACTAGTTACTTTGAGCGTTCACTTTGAATGTTATCATATTTATGTACAAAATTGTTCAGAACAACTCGTGACAAAACTTCCTTAATAGATCTAAACAGTAGTACCTACAGTACAATACTGTAATGTAAGAACTTGTCAGGCAAAGTTTCCAAGACCCTATGAGAGACAGAACACTATAAACTTTACTCGCCTATTCGTTCAGTAAAGCTAGCATAATCCATCGAGGTTACTAGCGATAGGTAGGAAAAAAGTAATATAATTAGAATATAGAATGTAATAATAATAATATAGTTGCCAAAATTATTCAAAGCTCAATTTTCTATCACCTGTATAACGATGCCTTTCCGCAGTGTTAAAGCCTTCTCTGACGAACTCAGCATGTAGTCAAGGAGACCTAATAATCAGAATCTACTTTCAAATTCTAATATGCAGCTTATAATTTACAAATCATTTCTAACAAATTATATTTTCTAAAGTTATTGTAATTATTTAGTTCAAAACAAAGTATTTAGTATTAAACAAAAATTGTTATGCCTTGGCATATGAAAGATGCTGGAGGCTCTCCGCCATGAGCTCGAGCAATGATCAGAACAACTTTCTTTTTCTGGTCAGTTTTACCCTTTTGATGTTCTTCGCTCATTTGATTTTCATTCTTGAAATTAAGATCGCCGATAGTTATCAGATCGATTCGTCGCTTTTGCTGTAATTTGAAAATGTTAAATACATACATTTGTTTCTTTTCTATTCTGTGCCGCATCATAAACGTTTATTATTAGCTTAATTCTTACCGTAGTTTGAGCGATAGCTTCTCTCGTAGCGAAATCGTGAGCTTTTTTTTCCCACGTAGTCAAGTGTTTTTGGAGCCGCGAGTATGAGTACGGCGCGGCGGCAGTGAATTGGTATATGTCTTCTTCTTTATCGAATGCAAACGCTATGCTTAATATCTTACGTCCCCTGTGAGCCATTGATCTATGATAGAAGATTAATCGTCTCGGTATTCTCTGCCTAAACGAAATGAAAAACGATAATGACGCTTAATGCAGTTTTCTTATTATATTATTACTAGCGCACGCGATGTAAAGAATTTTAAGTATTTTTTTTACATATTGGGTTACATTATTGGAGTTTCAGTAAGGACCTCAATTTTTTTTTTTAAATATAGTAAACATAGCCTATGTCACCCGGGGATAGCGTAGCTTTCCAACAGTGAAAGAATTTTTTAAATCAGTTCAGTAGTTTCGGAGCCAATTCAATACAAACAAACAAACAAATCTTTCCCCTTTATAATATTAGTGTAGAGTATAGATTTGTAAATTCATGATACCCAATTATTGAATTGAAATAGAACTATGTATACATTAATGCTTGTCATAGATTTTTGTCTTTCACAACGTATGTTCAAATGAATATGATATGAATGATTATAATAACACAATTACGGCGATCATAACTTGGTAATAATAAATAAAAACATGACAAAACGGTATACACAAAATGCTTACTTTTTGAGCATTAAAACAGAGAATAATCATGAATACGAATTTCTGGCACAGAGATTTAATGTTCGCAGTTTGACTGGAGCCTATTCAATGTGTTATAATAATAATAAAAATACTATTAAAAAAGATTTCATTTGGATTCGGTTTTAGAAGTGGCATCATCAGCGAAGAAGTTAATACTAATATATCTACCATTTAGGACGTGACGTAGATCGCACAAGGGGAGTCATGTCTCCGTTAAACAAGGTTAATTCTTTTCCCATATTCACTAAATTGAAAATCACCCTCTGAAAACAATTCATAGCATGAAACACACAAACGAGTAATTCTATTTAAAAAATTTCACTGGTGGTAGGACCTCTTGGGGGTCCGCACGGGTGGGTACCACCACCTCGCCTATTTCCGCCGTGAAGCAGTAATGCGTTTCGGTTCGAAGGGTGGGGTAGCCGTTGTAACTATACTGAGACCTTAGAACTTATATCTCAAGATGGGTGGCGCATAACATGGCGCATGGTGTAGATGTCTATGGGCTCCAGTAACCACTTAACATCAGGTGGGCTGTGAGGTCGTCCATCCATCTAAGCAATAAAAAAAATATATAATATTTTAATGGATGTATGTATATATTAAACTAGCTTTCCGTCCGTAGCTTAACACCGCTTGAGCGTGTGTACTTTATCAATGTTGTTGTAGTACATGCATTGATAAATTTCACTCTTGAGTTCGCTTTTCAGTTATTATTTGAAGTCTTCGTTACCTACAGCCTACAGGACAAGACGTCTGGTACATTCTGGTACCGAGGGATGCGATTGCGCCGGTGTTTGAATCCAACAGACAGGTACCAATGTTTCTAATGAAATACGTACATAACAAATGTTCACACGAACGACTTTCAAAATGAAGAGATAACATCGTGTAATATAAATCGAAAAATTTCGTACTTACTGGTAGTAGGGCGTGTTGTGAGCCCGCCCAACCCTGCCATGAAGCAGTAATGTGTTTCGGTTAAGGGCTGGGGCAGCCGTTTTATCACAATAAACCACTTAACCGGATTTTATTAATAATGGGAAAGCTCCTTCTTACGTTAGTTATATATATTTATCACGGTTTTTTTATTGCATAGATGAGTGAACAAGCTTGTAACATTATTATTATCTTGAATTTGTATCGTATAATGAATGTCCCACCATAAAATCAGAATGCAATTTTATAATTTTTTGCGAGTTTGATTTTCCTCACACGATTCGTGCGTAAAAATTCGTGCGTGAACCCATGGTACCTAAGTACCTATGTTTCCTTAGAAAAATTGGCACTTGCCTGCTGGATTTCAACACCGAGATAATTGCATCGCATATTTTTTAGGTCACAACAACGATGACGTACCAGTTTACTAGTAAAAATGTATTTTTAGATAAATACATTAGCCATATAATTCCTTTAGCTGCTTAGTATAAATACAAACGGAACGTTGTCTTAAATTCATTGTATTTTTTTATGTTATTTTTCATTCATATCTTTATTTTATTTATTGATTATTAACAATTTTTTAAACTCTAGGTATATTCCATGCAATTTCCAAATTGTAGGAGATGGTGGGGCAGCCGTTGTAACTATACTGAGATCTTAGAACTTATATCTCAAGGTGGGTGGCGCATTTACTTTGTAGATGTCCATGGGCTCCAGTAACCACTTAACACCAGGTGGGCTGTGAGCTCGTCCACCCATCTAAGCAATAAAAAAAAAAAAAAAAGATTTGGCGTAGTGTCGAAATTTCACTTCGCAAAATACGGAAATGTTTCACTTAATCGCCTTTATTTACTATTTATTGCTCTTATTTCAATCTTATAACACGAATAAGTGTTATTGTGACCAATAAATTATATAAGTTTCATCCTAGATGCTTCAACCGTAGGTGATCAATATTATGATTTAAATGTTATTCGTATTACTATTTATCTACTTACTTGGTCCTGCTTAACATTCTCGACGGTAAAATTAAACCAAAACCGGGATCTAGGCCTACAAGTGTCAGGCCTAATGAACAAGTCGTACTCCAGTTCTGTAATGTGATCAGCGCGTCCCAAGTTCCCGCATTCAAAAGCTGCGTCGAAGCACAACTGTCCTCGCTTGGCCTTCCCGCTGTGCCCCGGAGGCCTCACGATCAAGCGATTCAAATTACCAAGACCACCCTCTCCGTCGCTTTCTTCACTATCTTTAAATAAAATTTAAAGAAAATAAAATCGCCTTTTCGCATTAAAGGTGCACAATTTCCAAAAATATTCGAAATTGAGTTAATGTGCGGAATCATTTGGTATCACCAGTATTTTTCTCGTAAATATTGTCATAAGAGCGTAGTTTAGTTTTAGTTTTTTTTTTAGTTTACCTATATTTTGACTACTGTTAACAAAATTAATACATAATTTTTTCTTACTTTAAAAGACAGATAATGTAACTGGTAAAAAGTAAAAAAATAAATGTTGCAAAGATGATTAATATTAAAAATATCATATGTTAAACCTTTAAAATACTCTCCTGTAAAATTAGTGAGTTTGGAGATTATACAGTTTTAATGCGAGAAGACGAAATAAGAAAATATGCTTAGCTTTGTACACATCATTTTCATCAAAAAAGCTTCATTCAAAATTTACGTTTATAATTAACATGATCTTAGATATTCCTTCTTTTCTTTCACATTTGTTAAAAAAGATTTAATTTTGATATATAATATTATATTATTATGCTTCATAAAATTTAGATTATTTATACCGTCTAGCACTCCCTTGTAAATGGTCGTGTGTTCTAGTTCATCAGTATACGACGCCATCGTGAGACTGGTCGGCGTTATCGAGTTTGAACTACTTTGAACTGTGTAAGCACTATGCACAGTACATTAGATTGACGGCATTGCTTAGACGATAAGTGCTCACGAATGTGTCGGGAAAACCGTTTATCGAGACACGCAAACGTAACATTGAATGGGTTCAACCTTATTTTGTGATACAATTGAAATGTTCACAATAAGAGGAATTGAAAATGAATTTTAAAGTATGCATCGCGACGATAAACAAAATGATACGGTTAAAATGCAGTCAAAATAATTAGATTGGTATTTAGGTATTGAATTTTTAGGCAGAGATAAATCCAACTTCAATCTTAATCGATTGTATATGATTCATCCGACCTCTTTTACAATATGTGTAAGTCGAGTACAAAATGTGTAGGATTAAGGTACATAACCACGTAATTTTTATTGCATCGATAAAACAATAAGTTCTGTTAATTCAATTTCGTATTATGTTATATTTAACTCCGCCGTAGACGGTCCCAAGCCCGGTTTGAGAAAGGAGGAGGGTTGACTATAAAGGGCGTCTACCTACATTACCAAGGTAACTACATTGATAGTCGTAAAAGACGCCAACGTCGAGTAGTAGGCGACGGTCAACTAACCTACTCACATAATCTGGTCACGGTGGGCCTTGGAGACTAAATACCTCCTAAAATAACCGACGTAGAAGGTAATGGTAACCCACTACGCTTATAGTCCCAAGAGAACTCCATGGAAGCTATGTCAAATAATAGAAATATTCTGTCGGGTGATCCGGCTGACCCCCAGCGCTCATCGATAACCGGGTCGAAGAGTGTGCAATGGGCTACCGAAGACTTCTCGATAGTGAGTCATCAGGCTACCGAGTCAGTTCATGCTACTGAAGACAACAAAAAACCTTCCATACGTCACAAACACAAAATCGGCACATGGAACGTTAGAGGCATCCTGAAGCCTGGGAAACTCGAAGTCATTGAGAAAGAGATGAGGGAATACCAACTTCTTATAATGGGACTATGTGAAACCCATAAAAAAGGAAGAGGCCATTTCAAGACACCTGCAGGAAACACGGTCTTTTTCTCTGGACATGAAACTGAGAGTAAGAACGGCGTGGGAGTCATTATGTCTCGGAAACTTGTCCCTCACATTACAGGCTACAATACAATCAATGACAGGATCATGACCATAAGAATCGATAGCACCCCCATTCCGCTTAACATCATTCAAGTCTATTCGCCAACCGCCCAATCATCACAAGAAGACATCGATGAATTTTATGGAATGCTACAAACAACAATAGAAAGTATCTCCAAGCGCGAAATGACAATAATTCAGGGTGATTGGAATGCAAAGGTTGGAAGCACAGAACAGGATGACCACATCCGTCATATAATTGGTAAATATGGGTTAGGAACAAGGAACGAACGGGGCGAGAAATTAATAGATTTCTGTGTCAGTCAAGAGCTAGCAATAATGAATACCTTCTTTAAGCACCACAAGCGTAAACTGTATACCTGGATATCCCCCGGTGACCGGTTCCGAAACCAAATTGACTATATTACCATAGGCAAAAGGTGGAAATCATCAGTCACAAATACCAGAACTTTCCCGGGTGCAGACTGTGGATCTGACCACCAGCTACTAGTTGCAGATATTCGCTTGCGGCTAAAATCCTGTCACAAAAACTCAAAACCGACGCGTAGACTAGCTCAGCTTGAATATGAATATTTCCAGAATAAAACCGAACCAGAACTTACCCCCACTGAAATAACGAATACAAGTTCAGAGGCACAATGGGAGTCATTTAAATCTAAGATCGTAAAGGGCCTGGAATCTATGAATATAAAGTCACAGCCAAGGAAAGACTGGATTTCAGATGAAACATGGATTAATATAGGAAAGCGGAAAGAGTTGAAGAAAGGCGTGAGATCGGTCGATAATCTGGACGAGTATAGTACGCTCTACAAACTAATCCAACGACAATGTAGAAGAGACAAAAATTACTACCTCGAGAACATATGCACCGAAATAGAACACCATGCGGATAAATATCAGACCGGCGATCTCTTCAGAAAAATTAAACAAATAATCCGTAAGTTCAAACCATCCCCATGGGTACAAACGACAGAGAAGGCAATCCCATCCACGATATTGCAAAAGTCACAGAAAGATGGAGGGAGTATGTGAAGAACTATATCAAGACGCTTGACTAGACGCTAGTTGTGGTATCATCCATGATCCCGTAAAAGACTCAGAACCAGGTATACTTCGCTCTGAAATAGAAGAAGCTATTAGGAAACTCAAGAGAGACAAAGCTCCAGGTTCTGACCAAATCACAGCAGAAGTATTGAAAGGCCTGGGTCCAAATGGAGTGTCAAACCTGCATAATATCTGTAACGCAATCTGGCAAACAGGACACTGGCCTAAAGACTGGGTGCACTCGTCTATACTGCCTCTCCACAAAAAGGGCTCAGTGCGCAATTGTAGCAATTACCGAACGATAGCCCTTGTGTCGCACGCTAGCAAGATCCTACTCCACGTCATAAACAGCAGACTAAAATCGTTCCTTGACTGGCAGATACCTCAGGAGCAGGCGGGTTTTGTTAGGGGGAGGGGCACAAGAGAGCAAATTCTAAACTTGCGACTCATTGTAGAGAAATGCTATGAGTACAACACACCTGTCTTTATGTGCTTCGTAGATTATCAGAACGCCTTTGATTGCGTGAAATGGGAGAAACTGTGGGAGACCCTAAGTGAAACAGGAGTTCCGAGTCATCTTGTTATGTTGATTCGCAACCTGTACGAGTCGGGGGTTGGATCTGTCTCTGTCGAAAATGCCACTTCAAGTAAATTTCGTTTCCAAAAAGGAGTCCGGCAAGGATGTGTTATCTCACCTATTCTCTTCAATATATATGGGGAATATATAATGCGCCAGACTTTAGAAAATTGGGAAGGAGGCGTTAGAATAGGGGGAGTTCAGATAACGAACCTGAGATATGCCGACGACACCACACTTCTTGCTTCATCTGAGGCGGAGATGAAGGAGCTTCTGGTCAGATTAGAGGCTATAAGCCTAAACATGGGACTAGCAATTAACAAAAGCAAGACCAAGCTGCTAGTCGTAGACCGCTTCTCATCCATTCAGCGTACGGACCTTTTGGCAGAATACGAGGCCGTAGACCAGTTTGTCTACCTTGGTTCTGTGATCACGGATAAGGGGAGTTGTGAGCCTGAAATACGCCGACGTATTGGAATGGCTAAAACAGCTATGACGCAGTTGAGCAAAGTTTGGAAAGATCGTAATATTTCGAATAGGACCAAAATACATCTTGTGCACTCACTGGTCTTTCCAATCGCTCTCTATGGAGCAGAAACATGGACCATAAAAGCAGCTGACCGAAACAGACTTGATGCTTTTGAAATGTGGTGCTGGCGCCGCCTATTAAGGATTCCATGGACAGCCCACCGCACGAACATCTTGGTCCTACATCAGCTTAAAATGGAGAACGCTCAACGCCTGTCTGCCACCTGTCTGCAACGCATAATGCGCTACTTTGGCCACGTTGCCCGCAGAGGTGTAGACAACTTGGAACGTCTGATGGTGACTGACAAAGTAGAAGGAAAACGTCCTAGAGGCCGGAGCCCCAAACGTTGGTCCGACCAGATCTCCGAGCAAACCAGCGGACCACTTAGCGCTGTACTACACCAGGCAACTGACCGGAACCGATGGAGGCTGACAATCGACAAGCTAAAACGGAGTCACGATCCTCAGCAATGAGGGAGCGATGGAGAATTATGTTATAGATGACTATAAGATAATATGAAACTGAATGATATACAGTGATAAACGCCTTAATTTAATTATGAGAATCTATAATAACGACTACATTACCCTACGGATAAAAAACTGTAAACGAATATGAAATGGGATTTGGATACATAGCGTAAAACAATGAGAAAGTGTAGTTTTATGAAACAGGTAACAGGGTAGCAAAGTTTATTGCAGTAGAATCTGAAAATAAAGCTTATCTATGAATATATCATATCATGTATCATATCAAACCGCAGTACTGCCTAAAACTTGATAAAAACATTGAAATAAAGCGCAGCTTTGGGTAACTACTGATTTAAAAAAAAATGACGTTTCTTAAAATTACAGTAAGGCTTGGTTGTTTTCGAAAAAATATATTCTGCGTTATAAATTTTCGAGGCCATGAAATTCCCAAAAAAGAAAATAGATTTGTGATGCCCAACAAACTTTAATCTTATGATCCAAAGTTGACAACGACATTTAAGCTGTGGCATCTGCATCCACAGGTATCCATACACAGCCCACCACCAGAAATATTAATGATCAATTTGCAACCCCCAGATGGTATAAATCTTATCTCATCTTTGATGCACCGAGCGGACGAACCACCTGACACTTCGAACCGTGAGGATATGTTGTAACAAGCCCCTGAATCTTAATTTACTTCCACAAATACCGATTATGTGTATTTTCTGTTTGTTGGATAGGAACATGTAGACACTGCGGTCTGAGTTGTGGTTCCCCAAAATGTTCATTCTAGTCAATCCTTCAATACGCCTTCAATAGTAGTTTATCTAGCTAAGTTTTTCTAGCACCAAAATGTCCAGGGAGCGCTCCAAGCAGATATATGAACTGACTTTAAGAAGCTTATTTTCTGTATTCAATTTACTTAGGAGCACTAGAATCCAAGCCTTAAGCTCGACATGTTTCTCCATTCCAAAAAGGTTTTAGTTCTGTGTACATCTTACTTATTAAGGAAAGAGTAGAGATTAATTAAATAGTATTAAATAATATTTAGGAAGGAGCCTTAGCGCTCCATAGAGCATGTAGTTATAGGTGATTTAGTTTTTTAAGCAGCATTTCAAGTCATCATACTCAAAATAATAATACAAATTTATACTAACATGATAAATAGGTACTAACCGGACATATTTTAAGTTGAATATTACGTGTTGTTATTGTTTATTGTGTTCGATGATAAACCCATGTAACATAGCTACAGGAATTAACACTTTGAATTTTGTATTTTGTCATCTGTTTACAGCAGAGAATTTGGTTTGCTTCATTAAAAAGCCGCAACGTTGCCATGACAAGGTATGATGCGTCATTTTATTCATAATAAAAACAAAAAATAAAAACTTTGATATCCTCATTGCGTTAAATCTCCATGGAAACTGCTCCATCGCAACCCTTTACTTCGATGTTTACCAACATCCGGCTTTATGGGCTGTTATAATGAAAGTTTTAAGAATATCATTATTTGGAACGAAAAGCAGACGAATTATTGTTTGAATGATTTCAAAACATAGGTCAAGAAAAGTAAATCGTTATCAAACAGAGGTAAAACAAAAAACCTTGGCTATGAATATTGTCGTTTATTTAATAAATGTAATATTATACAGTCACTTTGTTTTAATTCCAGATTGGCATCTTACGTCTAATGCACCACAAACATTGAACAAAGCTCAACGTATACCGTAACCTTCAAAGAATACGAACAAAAATAATTTACAACAAGACTGAACTAACGGACTATTTACATTTACGTTTCTAAACTCTTAAATGCATTTATGTATGTGTGTTTTCGAATATTTCACATGTAACTTTGTAGATAAATATAAGTAAATTTACGACGTATCGAATGAACAGTCAATCTCTAAATAATTTGTCACAAATAGAAGATCTTAAAGTATTCGCATAATTGTATTCATCAACTGAAGTTATTTTAATGATATTTATTTTTATTGTTGGTACATGATTCAGCGGCTTCGTTTACAAATTAAAGATGTTAATCTGCAAGATTAAATACGGCTCTATCAAATACAAATTCTATAAATATTAAATATACATTTACTTGTTGTTTATTATAATAAAATAAGTAGATATTAATTAATCCAGTTTACCTGCACTTTACCACACACAGAAATTCATAATGAACATTTATATTCCTTAAATATCTAACAGTGATGCATAAATGCACAGAAATTCTTATTATATGTAGGTGTTACACGGACAGATAACTATTGTACACATTAAATACTAATGTTCAATATTTGACTAACGGGAACCATGTTTTAATTAGGTAGCTGTAAATACATAGCTACTAAAACGACTCAAGAAATTAAAGAAACCGACACGCGTCTTCTGGTAAACACTCAGATCATGTATAAAAATGTATTCAAAGTATATTTTCAGGTCTGCAACTTGTAAATACAAATAGAAGAGAATTAAAAAAGAAGAAGCAGTTAGTGATCAAAATAATCACACAAATTAGAATGAGAAAGATAACCAACAATACTAATACAATGTCCTCCCCAAAATTTTTACAACCATAATATGTTTTCATAATAAAGAATTGCTTGTTGTTTTAGCAGTGTTTCGAAACTTTTTTCTGCCAGATTTATATATACATACATATTTCTAAATAAGAATATTTCTTTTTGTATTAAATCCCAATCAACCTAAATTGGCCCATTGCTGGACATATATGCTGGCTGCCTTTCATGACCATTTATAACCTATGTATGCCAATTAAAATAACAAACTCTTTTATTGGTTTATACAAATTTTATTGCAGTATGATTGTTTAGAAATAAATATGGTATGAACAGATTTATTACCTTAGACTAAACAATACCTATTAAACAAAATTGCAAATGTAAGAATTATGTTTTTTTCAATAGAATTCGATACTTTAAAACATGGAAATGTCAATTTAGTAGGTACTAACGATTTATAAATAATTACAACATTAACAGGACCAAAATTTCCAACTGCAAAATATTGCTAAAAAAAATCTTAGAGTATTTTTCTTCACTTAAATCCCGTTCCCTCAAACTAGCCGTAAATTAGCACTGTCGTAAAGCCCACAGTGTGGTATAGGAAAGACTGCTTGTTACGGAGATCAGCAGCTATCTGATATTACTTTTTTTTAAATTCTCTAATGATCTTACTGTCAATTCAAATGTAACTGTAAAAGTTGGACTCATACGTTTACTGTTACTATTGACAGAGTAATTTTCGGGACGTATTAGTATTATAAAACATGGTTTAAAGAACTTTTTAAGGGTTCTTGTGGACACGGACTAGGTACCTAGCAGAAAAATTATATTGGTGTTTAATAAAAAAAAAGGATCATATATCGATAATGATATTAACATACATATTGTTCCAGTATTCAAAAGTCAAGTAGCTATGTGAATAATATTTTTAGGGGAACAAAAATTGACTGAACAGAGTTTGGTGAATGAGGATTGTAATGCGGTGCTTTGAATATATGTATTAAGTGAGGACGGGAATGAGATCACGCCTGCGTGTCGCCGTCGGTGTAGTGTGAGGGTCCCTCCACCGAGCAGACGGAGTCCTCGGGAGTCCGCGATGCATCCCCTGCTTCGCTCGCTTCCACCACGCTGGCGCCACCACTAGGCTTGCCCTTCCCACCGCGACGAGCTTGCAGAGCCTACACACCCACCAATTTTAAAATCCTTTAATTAAGTGTTGAAAATTAAACAAAAAAGGAAAAGCAATTTAAGAATGGGACGTTATTGTAGCATTTAAAACGTGTTTGTTTTAAATTTTTATGCTTAATCAATAACCTGCGTTTAAGAGAAACATTCTGAAAAAGAAGGCAAAAGGTAGTGATGGTGCCTCAAAACTCAAGGCACGTTTATTTCTTTTTTTTACCATTGAATGTTTGCATTACACGGAACACAAGTACAAAATTCATTCGTGTGAAGTCGGTTTTTGTCTTTAGTTTCGTCTAACCGGATGAAAGTTGCTCTAATTCAATTAATTTGGCCTGAAGACTGATGCACGGAGGGCTGCTGTATTGACTGAAGAGATTCAGTTAGACTGAAGAGATTCAGTTAATGATTCAATTTCGTGTATATTTGAAAGTAACATAAATAACAAAAGTCAAATTTTGGTAACAACTCAAAATCCGCGCGGGATTTTACAGATTATGCATTCACGAAACTTGATCCTTAAGCTAAGCAAGTAAGTAGTATTTTTCCTGATTACATCAATATAATGTGCTTAATTAGTCCCATTTCGCCTTTGGGAGTATTTATTATACATTTTAGATTATCTCAGTTCGCTTTTTTCAAAGTCAAACATTAACATTCCACAGAGCTTCAATCAATGCATTAATTAAAACAAACACGTTTGATTACTGTTCGCTAAAAGTGAACAATTTATTTTGATCACGATTGCCGGACAAGCAACACATTTATAAACAGAAACGACAAGATTAAGACAACCAAGTCTCCGAGACGAAAATTTTTTAACAGTTACAATTTTAAAGTTGAAAAGTAAGCCTTTAAAATTTTATAATTTTAAGTACGCCTTTTAATGTCTAATCGATATAATGAACATTTGACTCGGTATAAAGATTTAATATGATATCAAGACTTTGAAGTCGCACAAAACGCGAGTTGCTCGGTTTGGGCAGAACACAAAAAGCATGTTTCCGTAAATAAGCGAGAGTGAACTGGCGAGGGTGGTGAGGGAGCGAGGGAGCTAGTGCTGGGATCGGCGCCGACGCGGGACTTCCACAGGGGGCATGCGGGTGCGCCACGGTACGCCACATGCCTAATATAACACATCTCCTTACCTTCTCACGGCTGCCTTTTTTCTAAAGTCGGAGTGGGATGGAATATGAAACATTCAATTAATGATAGTGAAAATACAATTCCTAGGAGTTTCCTACAGCTAACACTGTCATGGTATACACTCAACATATAATTAACGGAATCAAAATCATTAACGGATCAGTACCGACCACTAAAACATTTCAAAGGTATTTTAACATTCAAAACAGGAAGGGAAATCATAACAAATCAAATTAACATAACTAAAAGTAGAAAAAAAAACTATGCATCCATCCTCCATCTTTACCTGTAAGACACTTTTTTAATGTATTAAATTCTCAGTGGTTTTTCTTTTTTTCGTTGCTTACATTTATTTGTATGTTACTAATCAAAATTAACGTAACAATTGATCCTAGTGTTAGATTTGTAACAACACTGCAAAATTTGTCTAACATACAACAGTTAACTAAATTCCATAAAAAAAAAAACTTTAAAATACTGTATGCAATACCTGTAATGAAAATCGTCTATGAGGCGGTTTCCGACCTCCTCGTCTTTTACTGATGTGAGGATTATCTCTTCTGATTGTCTTGTTACGAAGGATCTCCAGTTGGACGTACAGCCTTTTTAATTCCGCTCTTACTTCTTCTGAAGTGGGCTCTTCTTCACCTTCTGCGCCAAAACCTTCTGCGGGCCCTCGACGAGAAACCTGATTAGTAGAACAGTAAGGTAATATCAATACTCGTTAAGATAAATGTAACCAAAATACATAGTGAGCTTAGATTGAATATGAAATGAATATGAGCTATGAAATACGTAGTCAACAAATGTTCACGATTGACTTCCACGGTGAAGGAATAAGATCGTGTAATAAAAATCAAACTCGCAAAATTATAATTTGCGTAACTACTGGTGGTAGGACCTCTTGTGAGTCCGCACGGGTAGGTACCACCACCCAGCCTATTTCAGCCGTGAAGCAGTAAGGGTGGGGGCAGCTGTTGTAACTATACTTGAGACCTTAGAGCTTATAGCTCGAGGTGGGTGGCGCATTTACTTTGTAAATGTCTATGGGCTCCAGTAACCACTTAACACCAGGTGGACTGTGAGCTCGTCCACCCAACTAAGTAATAAAAAAATAAAAAAAGATTAGAGAATTTATTGATTCCAAAATGAACAAATAATTTTTTTTTATTAATATGCGTTCTCGATACATTAATCTGTAAGGCTTCGAACCTCTTGAGCTAATGATCTGGCTCGATAACCGTGCCAGAGCCGTGGGGCCAGCACACAGGCGAGCGCAGCCCCTGACGAGAGATGTGCTCGCGCTACGGCAGCCACGGGCCAGCGCTCTGGGGCCGCGTCGTTCGCGACCCACGCTACGCCACGCCACCACACCCCGCAAGCCGCCTCCGCCCACAGCGCCGCTGACAACAACCCACGCTCCTGGTACAAAAAGAAATGAAGCCTGTAAATAAAAGAAATCACAAACTGCTTCTTCCACCCAAAACATTATTAAGATTTTCACCAACATCTTAAAACGGGCCGGTAGTACTGTGCAATGCGTTGAACGCTATGTGGCCACCAGAAACCACTGAATATCAAGTGGGGTATCTGTCGGCATCTATTCATCTACAGCACTCAAAAAAACTTTAAGATAATTCAACCAAGGTAAGCCAATGAAATTCTTGCCACACTATCTGTGTACGAAAAAAATTTGCTGTACTAATAATTCTTACCATGACGTATGTATATTGTGAGCTCAGATTCTTTAATTAATTTAACAATGAAAAAGACTGAACCTGAAACGGAACATTGGCGTTTCTAGCAGCGTAAGCGATCCTAATACCGGCGAGAAGCAGTAGGATTTCAGCAGCGCCGGTAACGTGGTGCCATGCTGCTCTAGCACAACCACCGATGTCTTCTTCACAGGCCGCTGTTGCTGTGAATGCTGCAAGATAACACCCGGCACCAAGTACCATCGCGCCAACTACGCGAAGCACCTTAAAATCAACCAATCGTCTCATCAGATTATGATTGACTACTGTGAATATGAGTCCAAATGATCATAGGCCTAATAAGTGTATTTTGCTTAATTGTAGTTTTATGAGTTCATTGATTGCATCGACAAAGTGCGACTTTCAAATTTTTCTTTCCTTATTCTATCCTCGAGGAGTTATTCTAGATTCACCGAACTAGTAGGTGAGCTCACGGGGCTCAAACCTGACGACGTTCCTAACAAGGACCCTAGCAAGAGCCGTGCTTCGCAGAATCAGATCCGGTGAGAATCCGACTGAGAAGATCCGGCGAGAAACTGAGAGGGCTGTGTCTGTGTGTTAAATTACTCGCCGAGCCCTTCGTCGCAAGCGACGGGTACCACAAGAACGATGACCGATGCTTGAGGTACCTAAAAGCACTGTTAGTGGATCGGAAGGATCCGAAATGGCGTGTTTTGGGCCAAGTCGACTGTTTACCATTTGGTCCGCAGGATCGGCTATGCAGTTCCCGGCGGCCACGATGAGAGGATTCTCGTGTCGTGCCGCTTGATCGAAGTGGCGACTTTCAAAAAAAGGAGTCCCATTATATTGAAATTGACGTGATAAATGCTAAGTAATTGTATGTTTTAATTTGAGTTCATCGTGTTCGTTATCAATTTAGATTTTACCTCTGAATCTTTTGGCGTCCACCTGTGTGCTTTCCGGGTACGAAATTCTGCCAGTAAAACCCATAATCGTAAAACAACAGATCCATAGCAGGCCACGAATCCGAGCTCCCGCAGCCAGGCACCCGCTATACACCTCCATTTCGGCACCGAAATATACTGTGACGCAGCCTTTACAAAAATTCAATTCACGCATTAGTATGTAAACTTTTACTTATTGATTGCTGAGATGGGTGGACGAGCTTACAGCCCACTTGGTGTTAAGTGGTTACTGGAGCCAATAGATAACCACAACGTAAATGCGTCACCCAGAGTTGAGATATAAGTTCTAAGGTCTCAGTATAGTTACAACGGCTTCCCCCCCCCCCACCCCCTTCAAACCGAAACGCGTTACTGCTTCACGGTAGAAATAGGCAGGGTGGTTGTAGCTACCCGTGCGGACCCACAACATGTCCTACTACCAGTAATTACGCAAATTATAATTAGACGGGTTTGATTTTTATTACACTATATTATTCCTTCACCTTGGAAGTCAATCGTGAACATTTGTTAAGTACATATTTAATAAGAAAATTGCTACCCGTCTGCGGGATTCGAACGCCGTTGCATCACTACATACGAATGTACCGTACTTCTTATCGTTTAAGCCACGATGACTACAAGTAGCAGCCTATATGCTATTCAAATTGTAATAGTAAATAAAAGTATTAAATTATAATGTATTAAAAAGATCTTGTATTTCAAGGTACTCACAGAGGCGTACATTAATAGAGCGCCGAATAACACAACTTCCAATACAGTCCACATTCCCATGGCAACCGCCTAAAAAGACAAAACAATTTAAAATTATGTAATGCTCAAAAATAACACGATTTGCCGTATTTATTACCTTGCATTTTCTCTTCCTGAATATAATAAGACCGATGACAACACACAATAGCATTCCAGCTAAGTTAGCTGCCAGTAGTCCTACGCGATAGACATCAGCAAGACAAGCGGTGGCGCTACTTCCCATTCCGCATGGGGTACAGGTTAAAAAATTCCTATTGTTTCGCTCCAAAGAGTCGCCGTTTACCCATCCACCACCATACTGACTCCAATGTCCTGGTCGACATTTACAGCTGTACTGTAACATTCAGAAATGAAAGTTTTACGAATGCAATTTTATTAATATCCACTATAAATTTTTTTGTTTGGCCATTTTTTTACAATTACCTCTAATTTTCTTTCACCGTCTCTTAGTGCCCTGGACGCCTCACACTCGGTAGTGACGGGATCACATCGCGGAAATTCACCTAACCAATCGTGCATTGCCTCTTCACATGGCAGTGACGACCAACGTCGAAATATTGCAGCTGCTGCACGTGTGGGACCAGTGCCTCGTGCCGCAGCAATTCCACCCCACCAACCTTCTTCGTCTTTTTCACAGGAAAACCAAGCGTTCGACCATACAACACTGGTTGCATTCCAAGCAGAAGCCAATGTACGCCAGAATTGGCGTAATGTGGCTGAATTGTTTTGTTGAAATATTATAAGGCGAGAAGGTTCCGAGACGTAAAGTACTCCGAGATGCAGTTGAGGGGCTCCAAGCGCGACAGCAGCGGGCATCGGCGAGAGCGGAGCGCGTGCGACAGCGCGGGCTAAGGCAGTCGCACGCGCCTCGTCTGCTATCCCCTTCTCTACCAAGTCAGCAAGAGCTCGCGCTGTGTGAACAACGGCAGCTTCGTGCTCTCGTGCATTCTGAAACATTAAGGTAACTTTGAGCATTTCGGTCTAAGAACTGCGTATAACTGCAATTCTGTATGTGTTTTGTAAATGTATATATGTACACTTTTTTCAATAAAGCAATGCATTAATCACAACACTACATCACCGTTTGGTTAAATAGGACGGAATGTCTTAGGGCTTAGACATTAAGTCTCATTGTACTCTCGTGCATAAAGTTAAATAAATAAAAATATACAAACCAGGGGCAAAGGAGGTGGATTGTGCAGTAGCAGTGGATCGCAGACAGGTGAGGGCATAGTGGAGGAGTGCGAGGCGCGCGGCTCGAATGGCGCGGCGGCGGTGCACGCGCACCACGCCACGGCCCACGCCGCCCACCGCGCCCTCATCGCTCACCTGCCTCGTCCTGTCTCCTGAAACGTATCACATACATCTTTTCACGATGCATACATATAATTTAAAATTCGATGAAATATTTCTAACAATTATTATAAACTAGCTGACCCGGCAGACTTCGTAGTGCCTCAATCGATAAATGAAAGACTAAACTTTTGTATAAAATAAACTTAAAACAAACAAAAGGAATCCGTCCGACGGAGGACACATCAAAGGGAAAATAAAATTGTTATTTTTATTTAATTCCGAGTATTTTTATATTTATCTATCTACCTTTTAAACCTTCTCTGGACTTCCACAAATATAATAATTCAAGACCAAAATTTGCCAAATCGGTCCAGCCGTTCTCGAGTTTTAGCGAGACTAACGAACAGCAATTCATTTATATATATAAGATAGGAAATGCAATATACCTATGAAATAAAAAATATTTCAACCTAATTAATTATTCAGTAAAAACACATAAAATACGACATTGTCTAATAATTGTGCCTTATTCTGTAAGTATAGTCTTAACATATTTTTACAGTGAGAAATACAAACAAAACTTTACTTTTACTGGTGGTAGGACCTCTTGTGAGTCTGCACGGGTAGGTACCACCACCCCGCCTATTTTTGCCGTGAAGCAGTAATGCGTTTCGGTTTGAAGGGTGGGGCAGCCGTTGTAACTATACTTGAGACCTTAGAACTTATATCTCAAGGTGGGTGGCGCATTTACGTTGTAGATGTCTATGGCCTCCAGTAACCACTTAACACCAGATGGGCCGTGAGCTCGTCCACCCATCTAAGCAATAAAAAAAAAATTGATAGTGTAAATATTTACGATACAATATTTGAATAATTTGCGTGCTAACATGCTTCTGTGGTCAAAAGGTATTGTTATTGATACCACATGACTGTTGAACTATAAATCCATCAGTAATTGCTATCCAAATCCATCTATTAGACTATATAGACATCTTTTTTTTATGATTGAAAGATTACTACTGGCCCGGAGGCCTTTCCAGTTTCACCAAGACAGGTGGGCGAGCAAAGGATCAGTCAGGAGGGGTGGTATTTGCTAACAGCTGCCCGAGCGCTTCCGAAGGAGACCTAACAACTCAAGAGCAACTGCTTCGCGAATGAATCTAGGTACTATCGGATGGAATTGCAACTCATTGAGAAAATCAGTGGGTTCTGTCTATGGCTTAGTTCTATGGACTATTCCAATGTATTAAATTTCATTATCCAGTCACAAACCAAACATGAACTGGACTTCTTGTATAGTACTGATGATCCAAATAAGGCCTATGATAATTTTCTTGAGATTTTCAAACTCTTTTATGACCTTTGTTTTCCGGAAAAACAAATATTTATTCGATTACACAAAAAGGCTAAGTGGATATCACGTGGTATAAAACAATGTGTAAAAAAGAAAAGAAAACTTGTTTGGTTGTATAGGCATAACCCTTCTTTAATAAATAAAAATTATCTAAAGCAATACTCTAAAAGATTAAAGAAAATCATAAAACTTACACAAAAAGCACAAAATTCATTTAATATAAATAACTCTTTTAATAAATCAAAAACCACTTGGCAAATAATAAACCAGTCTAAAAATTATAAGCCAAAAAACTTTATCAGCACGATTAAAGTAAATAACAAACTTGTGACGAATCCACAAGCCATAGCAAACTATTTTAACAATTATTTTGTTGATAAAGTAGTACCATCTACGAATTTAGGAAATAATGTGTTACAGTTTGTTCCAAAGTTAAATAACTCAATATTTATATCACCTAGTACGCCATTAGATATTAAAATAATAATCAAAAATTTAAAAAATTCTAGTAGTGTTGGTTATGATGAAATAAGCACAAAAGTTATAAAATCAGTGGCTGAACTGATAAGTCCCCACATCTGTTATATAACTAACCTATGTATCAGTACAGGCATATTTCCTACAAAACTTAAAACGGCTGTCGTGAAACCACTTTTTAAAAAAGAGAATAGAGAGCTAATGGAGTTTTATAGACCAGTGGCTTTGCTACCTGTTTTCTCTAAGATAGTTGAAAAGTTTTTGTACAAAGAAATATATGATTTTCTTGAAAAATATAACGTTCTGCTTGAAAACCAAAAAGGATTTCGTCAAAATAAAAATATAAATATGGCAATTTTCGACTTTTTGAACGTTATTACATGTGATATGGACAAGGGTAACTACATCACTGCTCTTTTCTGCGATATGACTCAAGCTTTCGATCATGTCGATTTTAACATACTGTTAAGTAAATTGGAATACTGCGGGATGCGAGGAAATATATTAAACTTACTGGAGTCTTATTTAAAAGATCGAATACAATACACTGAAATTAGTAACATAGATTTTGTAAAAAAAACAGAACTTAAATTTAAGTCTAACAAACGTAAGATCACATACGGTGTTCCGCAAGGAAGCGTACTTGGGCCTCTCTTATTTATAATTTACATTAATGATTTTCCAAATTCAATTGACCACCCTATGACCCTTTTTGCAGACGACAGCACCATAACTATTAGGTGTAGAAATGACATTTTATATGAACACGATATTAATAGTACTCTTCATTCAATAATATCTTGGCTTGATAAAAATAATTTAATAATTAATTTAGAAAAAACAAAATTTATGCAATTTTATCAAAGAAATAAATATATAAATTTGACCATTTATAATAATAACAATCATATATATGAAACAGAAAATGTAGATTTCCTCGGTGTAAAAATTGACAACAAATTAGATTGGAAATCTCATACAGACGGACTGTGTAAACGTGTCAGCTCCTCGGCCTATGCACTCTTTAAATTATCCTCTATTTTAAACACAGACGCCTTACTAACTGCATATCGTGGTGTAGTTGAATCCTGTCTTAGATATGGAATAATTTTCTGGGGAAACTCAACGCAAAAAGATCAAGTTTTTAAGGCACAAAAAAGGTGTTTAAGGTCTATGTTTGGATTGGCAATAGCCGACAGCTGCAAGCCATATTTTGCAAAGCATAAACTTTTTACCCTTCCTTGTCTATATATATACGAAGTTGCATCTTTTGTTAAAACTTGTCCCAATAGATTCACTAAGATGTCTAATGTGGCAAACAGAAATCGACGCGACGATAAGCTATGTTTTCCAAAAACCAAAACTACATTAAAGAATAATAGTATACTAGGTATGAGCGTTAGGATATTTAATAAACTACCGAAGAAATTAAGAGACTTAGATGATTTTAATTTTAAAAAAAACCTAAAAGGTAATCTTATTAGTGAAAATTATTATCACGTGAATGATTTTCTTGGGGATGACATTGAAAATAAATGGATTTTTAATTATTAGTTGAATTATGGATGAATGAATGGTAAATTTATATAATATTATAACTATGCACTGCACTAAAATTCGCATGTCAAATAATGACAAAGCATACACGCTGCTTTTAACTTATGTAATAACTCATTTTCACTATGCTTGGCGAATAAATGATTTCTTTCTTTCTTTCTTTCTTTCAGATATTGTTTACCTTCTGAGGGCAGAGAATGTGTTCTACGTTGCAATTTTGTAATTATGTTTTATCAACAATGTTTATTCACCGATGATCGTAGCATTACTTTTAATATTAAATCAAAAACAAAATGTGTAACACTAACAATATGATTTTAGATTGTAACAACAAGACGTGTGAAGTTTCGTTTCTCTCATCACATCATTTTATGGATTTGTAATTCAGTGAGTTTGAAACAAAGCAGAGTAACTAAAAATTGTAACATCGAATGAATTGTTTATAAAAAAATGTGATACAGTAATTAAATACTTAAATACATTAACCATAAAACCTATCGTTTTAGCAAGTTAAAATTAAACTAAAGGTTCGTAATTATGTAAACCGTTAGTATGGCAGTTGAAAATTAATTAAAACTTTTAATTTATAAAGAATATTATCGGAAAGTGTGAGGTTTGAGAACATGGTCACTTTGTACTAAGCAATCAACGGTGTCATATTGCCTATTTTATCGATGTTCGGACGGAAGGTTCTGCGGATAAAACCAATTAACTCGTGCTTCTCATTGATAATGGCTTATTGGATGCCTCGACAGATAGCTGGGCTTATGGAGTGGTTTGTAAAGTAAATTATGTTCGGCTTTGCGGCATTACATTTCGTGATATGTTTTGAAGCGGCACTCGAAAGGTATGGTTTTTTAGATTGAATAATATTTTGTAATTTTAATACATCCTTGGTTAAATTTATAAAAAAAAACTCAGTTTGAGATAAGGAACATTAAATATCGGATCGCATATAAGGTCTTAATCCAACATCAAGATACATTACACATGAATTGATTAATGTTAAAGCCCTCTGAGCTTCTAACGATGTAAGCATGTACAATAATGCGTATTTTACAGTTAAATGACGTAGCGATAAAAGGATTTCCTCTGAAGCGTGAGCCTAATTCAGAATGGGCGTAGCCTGACGCCATTTCGGTATAATATTGAGTTTAATTTACCCAGCGAATCCCTTCATTAGGTTTCATTGTTTTAAAAAGCATAAGGATATCTTCTTGAAATAAAATTGATATATCTATTTCTGTGTTTTTTTTTAACGTAAACTAAGAATCTTGAAGCGCTTTCACACTTGTAATATGTACTTTGACCATAGCAAACCCCAAAATTGCCAACAGCTATACTTTTTGAATAGTATCTAACTATATTATTGTGATGGACGATGGATACGATGGACCGACCTCATAAAATCTGTTAATCACTCCAACATAAATGATTGCTCTCACTCTGCGAAACATTGTGCCACATGGCGTCGCATCGCGAGAGCATCGGTATCGCAGGATCCGACTGATGCATGACCACGACCACTCTGTCAAGAGTGTACGAATAGGAAGAAGAATATTATTGTATAATATTTCGCGCTTCGTGTTAGTTTTAGATTAGAATCTAGTTCCCGACCCACTTTTCGTTAATCGCTTCTGGAGTAACCTTTCGGATTCGGGG